TTCTGTCTCAGTTATGGGTCTGTTTAGGTTTTCTATGTCTTCCTGGTTCAATTTAGCTAGGTTGCATGTGTCCAGGAATCTATCCATTTCTGACAGGTTTCCCTGTTTGCTGGCATACAAGTCCTTGTAGTAATTTCTGATGATTCTTTTTATTTCTGTGGTGTCTGTTGTTACATTTCCTTTTTCATCTCTGATTTTATTGATTTGGGTCTTTTCTCTTCTTTTTTAGTTAGTTGGGCCAATGGGGTGTCAATTTTGTTTATTTTTTCAAAAAACCAGCTCCTCGTTTGGCTGATTTTTTGGAATGTTTTTCTTGATTCAATCCTGTTGATTTCTTCTCTGATTTTAATTATTTCTCTTCTCCTACTAGATTTGGGTCTGGTTTGCTGTAGGTTTTCTAGATCCTTGAGGTGAATTGAAAGCTCATCTACTTGGTGCCTTTCCAATTTCTTGATGTAGGCACCTATTGCTATAAACTTTCCTCTTAACACTGCTTTTGCTGCGTCCCATAAGTTTTGGTATGTTGTGCTGTTATCCTCATTTACTTCCAGAAAATTTTTGATTTCTCTTTTAATTTCTTCTATGACCCATTGTTCATTCAGGAGCATGTTGTTCAATCTCCATGTGTTTGCGTATGCTCTAGGGATTCTTGAGTTGCTAATTTCCAACTTCATTCCACTGTGGTCTGAGAAGCTGCATGGTATGATTCTAATTCTTTTAAATTTGCTGAGACTTGCTTTATGGCCTAGTATGTGGTCAATCCTAGAGAAGGTTCCATGAACTGCTGAGAAGAATGTAAAATCTTTAGCTGTAGGATTGAAAGTTCTGTATATATCTGTTAGATCCATTTGGGCTATAGTGTCGTTTAAATCTACTGTATCCTTGTTGATCTTCTGTCCTATTGATCTGTCTATTTCTGAGAGTGGAGTATTGAAGTCCCCCAGTACTATTGTATTGGGGTCTAAGTCTCCCTTTAAGTCCGTTAACAAATCTTTTAGATAAACCGGTGCCCTGTAGTTAGGTGCATATACATTGATAATTGTTATATCTTCTTGTTGTATCATTTACATCAAAATGGTTGTAACTGGATGACATCATGTTGAGCGAAATAAGCCAGACAAGATAAATACTGTATATTCTCCATTATATGTGGGAGCTAAAAGTTTTATTAATTAATCTAAAAAGAACCAGAGAGGCCTAAGTATTAGTTTTGCTGAAAATACAGTGTTTTGTAAAACAAAACAAAACAAACTTCTACATTAATTTGTAAGGTTACAAAAAAATAACACATTTGAGGAAAAAGGAAAACAAAAGGAAAGTGGTTTTATATTTCTAAAAGGAAAACAGACTTGGTTATAATCTTGCATGTTTCTTGGTACGTGGTGATAAAATAGAAAAAGACACACAAATTTTAATTCTATTTACCCTTTCCTTTCATCTAGCAGGAGTATCACAGAACTGCATAAAAGTACTCATTACATTTCTTCCCTACCTATTATGAAGTAAAAAGGTATATAGTACCTACATTTTCATGGATACGATTTCTTTTCATCCCTTTTCTGATATGTTTAAACCTTTTTAAACTGTGAAATATATAACACAAACAGGATACAAAAGTAAACAGCTCAGCAGTTCATTTCAAAGTAAGCATTCACCTGCTAACTATCAGGTCAAGAAGCAGAACACTGTGAGCATCTAACACGACCTCCAGGCCTCTCCCAGTCATCTCCTTACCCCTGCTTAAGAGGTAAACATAGTGTTTCATCTATTTTCATTGTTTTCTTTTTATTTTTCATGTTGAGATTTTTTACTTTTATCACTTAAATATGCATCCCTAAATGCTCTAACATTTCCTATTTCTTAAGCTCTAGTAAATAAATGCACTCATATGGTACATATTCATACAGTATGCAATCTTTTGGGCCTGGATTCCTTCTCTGAACATTGTTTCTGAGGTCCATCAAAATCATTATCTGCATCAGTAAATAATTTTCTTTGATGCACTTATGGTATTATCTGAATTTATCACAACTGATTTACTCATTTTACTATTGATAGATTTTTGGATGGTTTCTGGTTTGAGGATGCTATAAAGCTGCTTTGAGCATGTGTGTATATACTTTTTAAAAAATATTTATTGTTTTGAAAGACAGAGTTAATAAGAGAAAGAGGACGAGAGAGAGAAAGACAGAAACCTGCAATCTGCTGTTTCACTCCCCAAATGGCCACAATGGCCAGAGCTGGGACAGGCTGAAGTCCACCTGGAGATGTAATCAATTGCTCAAATCCAAACTTGATTATGTTTAAACATCTTTTTTTCACTGCTAGTAGTCAGTGAAAAATTACTATAATCCTGATGTTTCCCTCTATTATTTATTAAATTTAGAGCTGTAAGCAACAGAATTGATTCTGGTATGGTGAGGAAAGAGTCAAGTTCCCAGCACTGCTGAATGAAGAGCAGGTCTTTTATTCTCCCACTATTTCTTTTTTTTTTTTGACAGGCAGAGTGGACAGTGAGAGAGAGAGACAGAGAGAAAGGTCTTCCTTTTGCCGTTGGTTCACCCTCCAATGGCCGCTGAGGCCTGCGCGCTGTAGCCGGTGCACTGCGCTGATCTGAAGGCAAGAGCCAGGTGCTTCTCCTGGTCTCCCATGGGGTGCAGGGCCCAAGCACTTGGGCCATCCTCCACTGCACTCCCGGGCCACAGCAGAAAGCTGGCCTGGAAGAGGAGCAACTGGGACAGAATCCGGCGCCCCAACCGGGACTAGAACCTGGTGTGCCGGCGCCGCAAGGCGGAGGATTAGCCTAGTGAGCCGCGGCGCCGGCCTTCTCCCACTATTTCTTTAAGTCAAACATTAATATATTCTTGGTTCTATCTAACCAACTCTATTGCCTATTTATCATTAAACAAAAAGCATCTGTCATATATTATATCTTTAGAGTAAGTCTCAACATCCTTAGAAGTTTTTCTATTTTGTAAACTTCTTCAGGTGCCCTATCACAGTACTTTATATTCCTACATATATTTAAGAATTATCTTGTAAAGTCTATGAAAAGAAAAAACATTAGATTCTATTGTTGCTGCATTGATCAATCTGGGAATATCAGACACTTTAAAATGTCTATTTATCTGAAAGGCAGAGAAACAGAGATAGATTTCCATCTGTTGGTTTACTCTTCAACAGTCAGTGATGGGCAACACTGAATCTGAGTTTCACATGTGGGTGACAAGACTCCAGTGTTTCTGAGTCTCAGTTGCTACCTCCAGTGGTTTGCATTACCTGGAATCAGAAAAAGAGCCAGGATTCGAACCCAGATACTCTTATAAAGTCTGTGGGTATCCAAGTAGGGCTTTAAAAGCAGATACCTGCCCAAACATCTTAACTATTACTTCTAACAATTTGCATCTAATTTTAGGAGACTTGTATGTATGCAATCTGCATCAACTGTCAAAAATGGCAGTTTTAATTCTGATTACCTAGAAAGGATATTACCACAATTGGCAAAGTGTTTCTGAGGCTGAGTAAGTGATAAACACACTGAAAACTAAGCATCTTGGTTACTTATGAATTCCAAGGGATACAAAGGATCATTTAAGAAAAAAAAAATCATGGTAAACTATTTAGAAGTACTTAAATGATCATGATCCTATAATAATGAACACTGATTTAACTAAAAGTTCCATATAATTATGCTGGGAACAGCAGGTGGAAAGGGTGTGCATGTTGTAGGGTGGGGGAAAGAGGGAGGAGGCTGGTATGATGAAAACAAAATCATAACGCTCTCAGTGTAAGTCTACAGATAATGGCAAACTGAAACATAAAGCAATAAAAAGTAAAGGCATGTTGGGGCTGGTGCTGTGGCACATTGGGTTAATCCTCCACCTGAGGTGCCAGCATCCCATGTGGGTGCTGGTTCTAGTCCTGGCTGTTCCTCTTCTGATCCAGCTCTCTGTTATGGCCTGGGAAAGCAGTAGAAGGCAGCCCAGATGCTTGGCCCCTGCACCTGCATAGGAGACCTGGAAGAAGCTCCTGGCTCTTGGTCTCAGCTCCAGCCATTGCAGCCATTTGGGGAGTGAACCAGTAGATGGAAGAAGACCTTTCTCTTTATCTCTCCCTCTCACTATCTGTAATTCTCTCAAATAAATAAATAAATATTAAAAAAAAAAAAAGGTAAAGCATGTAAACTACAGAGTAAACTGTAGAACTACTTTACTATATTTACCTTCCCCCAAATAGATGCATAATCCTGTGATATTCCTACATATCCTCCTTTTCAAATACTTCAAATGTACATTATGAATCCCTATCACTAATTGTAATTTCTGAGACTAAGTTATATCAAAAAATTTCATACTATTCATAAGGAATTAAAAATAATTTTACTCTATTCTAATTTTATAAAACTCAAATTTAGGCAGATAGTCAAAGGAGAAAAAAAACAGAAATGGATCAATATTTTGTATCCACTTATAAAAACAGAATACAATATCTATGTATTTGCTAAAACTGAAGTGAATTCACACGAGCAAATGACAGCATCTTCTGTTATGCAAACAATAAAAATTTCAAAGATTAAAACATTTTTGTTTTGAAAAGAGTAGTTTGTTTCTAAATCAGTTAAAACAAATGATCTTAGAATATGACTTTTTTATAAACCACAAAGCTATTAAGACATGTTTTAAAAGGCTATTATTACTATAATACGTATGTAAATTTTACCATTTTTTCATAAAGAAAATAACATTTTATGAACATGTACTTTTTTATTTTATTTAATGAACATAAACTTCCAAAGTACAGCTTATGGATTACAATAGCTTCCCCCCCCATAACTTCCCTCCCACCCACAACACTCCCCTCTCCCACTCCCTTTATTTCATAAAGAAAATAACATTTTATGAACATGTACTTTTACTACTACATAGCAAAGTTTACACCTACAATAAAACGCTATTTTTAGAAAGGCCTGATATTAGGGAAAAATAATAATACATGCTTACCTTAATGCACGACTTAGCTTCTCATAGTTCATTGTAGGCTTATTTTTACGTTGTCCCCACTTTTGTGCAACCAGTTCAGGCTGATTTAGTTTAAATTCACCTTCATCACCAACCCAAGAAATACAGTCTCGAGCATCCTTGTCAGTAAGGAGTTCTAGTAAAAACTGCCACAGTTGGATTTGTCCATTGTTTCCTGAATTGACAATAGGAACAAGCATTGGCTATAGTGTTACCAATTAACACAGGGCAAAAAGCAGAAACAGTTTTCTTTTTTAAACCAATGCTGTCTAAATACTGTCAGGAGAGTTACCTAAATTCACATTTTTATGTAGTGAAATATAGTTAATGTAAAATACCTGTTCTGTTCCCAGGTGAGCTCCTATCCTCTCCTGAAATCCTTGGAGCTCTCTGGACTTTAGCTGCCTTTGCACTGCTGTTTAGCACTTTAATGGCAGTTGGTGTAGCAGACTGCACTGATGCTGGAATAATTTGCACAGCTGCAAAGATGACATGGGGAGAATTTTTTTTTTCTTGTAACAGAAGCACTGAAAACAATTACTGAAAGACATTAAACGCAATTGGTGTAACAAATGCCCTTCTATTAGCTCAAAGAAAAGACTTCATTACAATAGCCTTACTCAAACAGTTTCCAACACACAAAAGTTCACAGGATGCACTATGATGGTTTATGAATCTGAAACTTAAGAGTTGATCTCCTGTATGAAATGATAACCCAATGGTGCTTACACATTAGACTAACAGTTAAAATATAAAAACATGTTTTTAAAACATCTGTTCAGAGAAATGGTTTATCACATGTTGGAGAAAATACAGACAAATGAGAACTCACATTCCACTACTGTTGATAGTACAAACTGATACCATTTTGGAAAAAAAAAAAAAAAAAAACTGTAAGAATACCTATACTTGCTGACAAAGTAGAAACCCTGTGATACTAAAAACAGAGACACATGTTCTTAGACATACTCAATGATGTTCATAGCATTTTAGAAATACTATTCAACAGTGAAAATGACTGAATCTACCCACAAATATCAAAACTTGTAAGTCTCAGAAATGTTAAACAAAAGAGCATGTTATAAATGGATATGCACAGTATATATCACCATTTTAGACAAAATGTTTTAACATAGGCAAAGCAATACTATAAAGTACCTATTGTTAAATAATTGGTAAAAATATAAACATTCAATTCAGGATAGTCATTACTCTGGTCAGAGAGAAAAATGGAATCTACAGTAGGGAAACTTTTTATCTTATTTCTTCTGGTGTATATAGGTGTTACTTATACTTTCTTTTTTATCTAAAATCCGTCATGAACATGTGCACAAAAAGTTCTCCTTTTTACTATCTTGCAATATCAAGTACAGAAAACATCTTACTGATAAATAGGTAAGTACTATGGGCATTCAACAATACTCACGTTGATCAATTGTAACTATCTCATTCATCTGTTGTTCTTGGCTTGCCAACACATCTAAAGAACACATTAAAATTTTTAATTTTCATTTAAAATTATAAATAAAAACCCCGATCCAGTGAATCTCTAACTTTGTAAGCAATATCTTTTTAAAGCAGGGGTGGGGAACCTTTGTTCCACCAAAAGTTATTTGGATATTTATAACATCACCTGCAGGCCATACAAAATTACCAAGTGAAAAACTAGCCTGCTACAGATTTACTGAATTTCGAGCCACACAGTTCCTTGGCAAGATCAGCCAAATGATTTCAGAGGCTTTATATGGCCCACGGGCTAGAAGTTCCCCACTCCTATTTTAAAAGGAACTCTACAACTAAAACCAAAGCCAGTAAATCAAATTGAAGAAAAAGTAAAATATTAACATTTGGAACTTACTATCATAAGAAACTAAAAAATATTTGACTGTCAAGAGAAATTAACCATGAAAAGAAGAGAAATAAACTATGAAAAACTCCAATTTCTTTTTGTGTTCTGGAAAGTTATTCAAAGAACCATGGTTTTCTAAATATAAATATCTGCATTTCAATCTTTATCTATATAAAATCATATAAAAATATAGAAATCTCCAGGATCAGAATATACACCAAACTGAAATCACTTATACACATATGTATCAACAAAGACTCCCTTAAAACTGTTATAACACCCACTTCTGATAAAACTGCTTTAACTTTACAATGTTAAATTTTCAACAAAATTATAACAATTCTAAATATCACAATTAAATTATTTAATGCAAATACAACTCTCAACATAAGCATTCCATTTGAAAGTTCCTAACGTAACTCTCTACAGAACCACTCATTACTCTCCTGTTGCTGTTTAAATGCTATCCTTTGCCTCTCAAACAATAACTGCACCTTCCAGTTTCTATTCTGCCTGTTCAGTACCTGGCATAAACTACATGCTTCTCTCTTGAAACTGAAACTGCACCCACCAGCAATCATTCTGGATAATCAATGAGTCCTGGGGCGTGGGCCCCTTACAAGACTCTTCAGGCCAGGATACAGGTCTAGACAAACAGAGCTGGAAAAAGCCAAGGAACAAAAGAAGCAATCTAAGTTCTGTCAACAGGAGCTTTCTTTGAAGGTCCTGAGTTCAAGGGCTTCCACAATTACGGGATAGTTTCAAACAGATCTCTGTTCAAGATCTTAGCTCTTGGTGATATAGACAGACTATGGTAAAATTCTCAACCTCTTTAAACATTAATTTCCTCATGTTAAAATGAGAAACCTCCAGTTACCTCCTCAAGAGGTTGTTGTGAAGATTAAAGAAAAACATTTTCAAGTAGTTACTGCCTGATTAGGACTTTTGGTTTTGCGCATTCTTTCCTAGAACTGGTGTTTCTACTGAAGAAAAATCCATGTCTTGTTTGTGGAGATTTTCCTTAGAATTTCATTTAAAAAACCTCAAGAGGCAAAGTGCTACTGAAATTGAAATCATTCAATATGTGACTAAATGAATGGAATACCTCAGTCCCAAAAGGGACAGAGAGAAAGTAACCCATCATACTGAACAGGAGTAAGCAACCTGTAAACTCAGCATCCAAGTCCTAATTCTTGGACTGCATTTTTATCTTCTTCCTGGGAACCATCAAGAATACAGCAAGAGAGAAGCTTTGAAAGCTTAGCACATATCTGTGTAGGCACTGTGATTATCATACTCTGTACTAAGCCTCCAAATCTTGGCCACACACAAAAGAAGCTGAGTCCTAAGAGACAAAGCTCTGGGGGTTATGTAGCCATTTTATGAAGAAAAATTAAGACTCTAAAGGTAGGAAGCAATTCATTTCCCTAAAGAAACCCCTCAGAAAACCAGAACCCATCCCTTTGATGACAGAAGACAGACACATCAAAGGTACGTCAGACAACTAGTAGTATGGAATATTTCCTAATTATCCATCCCACATATAGAACTCAGATAAAGTTTCAACTTAAGGGGAACTGCAGGAAGGTGGTGGCTCAGATAGGTGATCTGACACAAACATCTGAAGGGAGCTCAGTCTCTTTAACACTCTTGAGGAATCACTGGATGCAGACAACATGTAGTGTTAATAAATAACAATTTATTAGCAACAAAAATTTCCTATCCCAGAAAACAACAATTTTCAGATATATGCTGCAGATTTCTCTCTACAAGAAGGGCTACATAATCAGACTGCTCAAAAGACTCTGTTGTGAGAAATGAGACTTCTTCACATAGAGTCTATGGCAAACAGATTTATGCTCCATTCTGCATATCCCCCAAATTCCAAACTGAACATTAGATTCTAAAACCAAATGGGATTTCTCTGTGAGGGCAGAGAGAAGAACCACGGTTGGACAAGCAAAGAATTCCATGAAACAATTATCTAGGCCATGGAGGCTTGGCTGTTTTTGAAAACAAACCAATGATTCCAGAGCAGAGCCTTTCAGAGGAAAGTCCATTATACTGCACAGAAATGGAAAGATATACAAGACTCTTTTGCTTCCATATAGGAAAAGTCTAGGTTTGTAAAGCACTAGGAGAACCTGAAAGAGATACCCCAACAAAAAACTGACCTAGGAGACACTGGGAAAACATGAATTTAGGAAAGACCATTGTCATAGCACTATCCTTGTGTTCTTGAGAATAACTCTAAGAAAAAGTTTCGGTAAAGATAACTCACGTGACAAAAACCCGAAAAAAATCTATGATTTACTTTTTTCATCTGAAAAGGTCTGCAGAGGATAAAACCTAAAAAACTGAGGACAACCTTCAACTGAGACAGTGAACTTATCTACTAAGAATTGAAACTAGAAATAAACCAGGCAAATGCAATCAATGAAGTCTCGTAGTGTCATGGAAACTTTTAAAAAACACACAAAAATCCATACATATATACACAACGAAGAAAGCCTCTCTCCACAGCTCATTTCTTAGTCAACAGCAGAGAAACTACCTCAGATGAAAACACTAGGGATTAAATCACTGTGGAAAATCCCATTTACTAGGAAACATTTCCTTGATTGGGCATATGGTAGAACAAAATGCAAGGGGTTACATTTTCACCCATAACTAATACAAAAGCACTGTCAATGTCTTTCTTATTTATGCAATCTAAAAAATGCATGGATCTGCCTAGCATTTCTGATATACAAAGCAATGTCGGGATGGGTTGCTGCTCAGATGCCTTAACATCTAGCTGTGTCTAGATGGTCACTGAATGTAACTTGGATTAAAATTCAAATAACATCATTTAAATTTATTTGAGCTTTTTGTTGGACAGCCAAGCAGTTTCTAATTTCTATACACAGTTACCTAATAATAATGTCTGTGGAACATTCTGGGGTTCTAACTGGAAATACTAATAACCAGTGTCTCCAATTCACAACAGTGAGTCATATACTTACACTTTCCTTAAGACCCTATTCAGTTAATATTAAAGTAGTTTACAAACACTAAATAATGGGGAAGAAAGCACTTGTGAACAAGCGATTTTGAATTTCTAGAAGATGAGCAGAACTGACTAGAATAATATATGTAGAGGACTAAGTCTAGGGCATAGCATCAAATTTTAGAATTTGGGATTCTAATGTTAGACGGGTTAAATCCTGGCTCTGCAAATCCCAGCTCTGTGACCTTGTAGCAAAGCCTCACTTTGCTATCTAAAATATAAAAAAAATCACCCACGGCATTATTATAGGGAGTGCGTGATATAATGTGGGGCTGGAATTCCTGCGCAGTAGGTTTAATCGCTGCTTACAATGACGGCATCCCACTTTGGAGTGCCAGTTTGAGTCCCGGCTGCTCCATTTCTGTTCCAGCTTCCTGCTATGCTCCTGGGAAAGCAGTGAAAGATTGCCCCAGTACTTAGGTCCCTGCCACTCTTGTGAGAGACCAGGGTGGACTTCCTGGCTCCTGGCCCAGCCTGGGCTGTTGCAGGCATTTGGGGAGTGGACCATCAGATGAAGATATCTCTCGCTCTCTTCTCCTCTGTCACTGCCTTCTGAATAAACACATAAGTAAATCTTGGGGAAAAAAAAAAAGAATAATAAAGAGTTCTCAGTACTGCCTTACAGTTAAAAAACTGCATAATTATGTGCTTACTACTGCTATCAATAAACAAACCATTTATAAAAATAAAATCAAGCTTAAGGTACAATATAAATAGATAATAACTCCAATTTTATACATTTTCGAAGAAGCTCCAGATGACTCCAAAGAATCTCTCCCCGAGGGACCCGCTGAAAAAAATCTTCTTGGTTGAGACTACATAATTCTCTTCCTGAAATGTTGAGTGTGGTGAGGTCTATATCAGTCATGCTGAATTCCTTCATTACCCAAACCACCCAATGCAGGACTTGGTCTGTGGACCACTGTATAGGATCTAGAAAGAAAAATATTATCTTTAGCCTAGTTCCATCTTAGATATTACATGAATTTACATTAACTTGTCAATATACATACATGCACACATAGATAAAACCCATGCAGATTTTCTCTAAGTAAATGCATTATATAAAGTAAAAAAAAAATATTCTATATATTTTCTTCAACTCTTTTCAATCTAAATTTCCATTGGTGTCACTGAGTCTTCTTTTATCAAGAAAAACAAAATAAAGACTTGTTCTCTAGTTAATCAAATGGAAGAAAAAAATATACTGATTGTCCTGGAGAGAATGGAGTAAATTATCCAAGTTTGATATATTTTGCAGCAGTATCTGATTTGGTGCATTGAAAATAATTATTAAGGGGATTCTAAGAAGCTAGCCTTACTCTCAAGAACAACAGTTGTAGTCTTTTCTCCCTTTTCCTAATAAGTATTGGCTGAGTTAAATTTGATACTGGTATTCGTGCTTTAAGATGATCTATTTAAATAGCATAGGTTACATAATCAATAAGTGAATAATAGTCACTAGTAAATGGAAAAAAATCAACAAGAGTCAACTTACTATGAAAATGAATCAAGTATAAGAATATAGATTAGACAGCCACAGAAAATGTAAATTTTTCTCAAAGAAGTTAAGGAAGCAGGATTCTAGGAAGACAATGGCAAGGCTTGATTTTTGTTTTTTCCTTTTGGTAATTACTTTGAATGCACACATAAAAACGAAAAATCAACTAGAGAAAACCAAAACCCCATGGCCATTTACAATAAAACCATGTGACAAGACATACCCATGGTCCCTAAAATAAGAACAGGTGAAAAAGACAAAGCAGCAGTAGCCACAAGACCTCAACAGTCTCAGCTCTGTGCAAGACAAAGCAAAGGGACCACATAGCCATTCAGAACCTGAACACAAGAAAACCTGAACACAGCCAAGAAATATTCACTGAAAACACAACAGGCCAAACTGAAAGCAACATTTAAAAAGTCAAGTAGTTTTGCACAACTCTCTAACAGGTGAGTACAAGGGTCCAGGGTAAGGTCTAAAGAACTGGAGCAGCATAGCACTTAGAGCTTTCAAACTTAGCCAAGGATCACTTGGAAATGGGCAGGAACAGAAAACAAAAATTAGTACATGAACACCAAGGAAGCTAAAAGAAAGGCTTAGATAAAACTGGAATAAGGAAATAGGAAAACAACAGAAGATGGGGTTCTGTTAATTTAGAAATGCTATCCGGAACCACACCTCCCTTTAAAAGTCCATGAATGCTCATGAACAAAAATCTTTCAAGATCAAGAACGACTAGGGGAAATATAGCTGATTTGCTTTCTCAAATAGTATCAGAAATTTGTATTTTATGTACCTAAATAGCTATGTTGTACCTACTTTCCCTAAGACTCTAATAAAATGAAGGGTAAAGGAATTTCAAAAAGATGTAAAATCATAGCAACAGGAGTACAAAATGAGAGTCACAGATGGGAGATTTCAACTAATTTTTTAAAGACAATAAGCAAAGTGAAAACCAATTTAGCAGAGAAAGGGAAACTGACTTAAAATATCTACTAAGGAGAGAGAATTTCTGCCTACAGAACCTGTTTTAATGGCTTATAATGTGGTGGTTCTAGGTAGTATGAGGGGCATAAATCTAAAACGTAGGGGACTCATTTCAAGTAGAGGGCATGGTTAGAATCTCTACAGCCTCTCCCCTTCATTCTCAGGGGTCTGCTGAATGGGAGGATCCATACCCTTAAATACCAGAACATTTCAGATGGGAGACATGAAGTGGATATTAGAACAGCTTCCAATGGTAAAAGTCTACAAACTGAAGAGTGACACCTTATCTCTTCTCTGCCTCACTTCCTTTTCAAGACCTATCAATTCCAAATGGTTAACCCCAGTCTTCTACTCCTGAGGGTGCTTTGGCCAATTGTCTAGAGAAGTTGAAGACACCAACAAAAAGATCTAACAAACTAAGACATCCGAAAATCATTTCATGAAAAAGCCAATACTCCATTTTACTGGTGTACAGTCAACAAATCTTTCAGAACTCATTAGCTCTAAAATTAATTTTTAAGGAAATCTATTATGCAAAAAAATTTGTTGAATGGCAGAGAGAGGGGCTGGCACTGTGGCACAGGGGGTAAAGCTGCCACCTGTAGTGCCAGCATCCCACAGGGGGGCCGGTTTGAGTCCTGGTTGCTCCACTTCCGATCCAGCTCTCTGCTATGGCCTGGGAAAGCAGTAGAACATGGCCTAACTCCTTGGGCCCCTACAGCTGCATGGGAGACCCAGAAGAAGCTCCTGGCTCCTAGATATGGATCAGCACAGCTCTGGCTATTGTGGCCATCTGGGGAGTGAACCAGCAGATGGAAGACCGACCTCTCTCTCTCTGACTCTCCTTCCCTCTCTGTGTAACTCTGACTTTCAAATAAATAAATGAATCTTTAAAAAAAAAAAAAAAAAAAGGAAAGGCAGAGAGAGATTATACACATAAGATCTTCTATCTATTGGTTCATTCCCCAAATGCCCACAGCCAGGGCTGGGCCAGACCAAAACCAAGGACTCTCTATCCAGGTCTTCTGAATGGGTGGCAGTGGTCCAAATACTTAAGCCATCACCAGCTGCTTTCCAGGGTGTGCATTAGCAGGAAGCCCAATCAGAAGCAGGTGGGATCCGATAAGGGGTGCAGGTATCCCAAGTGGTGGCTTAGCCACTGCTACAACACCCACTCTGATATTCATTCTTAAATGTGGATAGAAAATAATCAAGATATTTTAGAGAGACCAAAGGCAAAGCATTAAACAAAAAACAGAAAAACAGCATTAAACAAAAAACAGAAAAACAGAATCAAGAGGAAACACATATGCGGTAACAGGATTTTTTGAGTTAAAAAAATTACCATAATCAATATACTCAAGAGGTAATAGAAAACATATCTAAAATATAGGATACAAATGCTCTAGAAAAGAAGAAACAAAAATAAAAAACTTGTCTATGTAAATCAAAGTTGTAATATACAGACAATAAAATCTGGCAAAAAGTAGTACAAATAGCAAAAAGATGAAAAGGAAAAACACAGAGGATCAACCCGAGATATTCAACAAGAATATCAAAAAAATTACAGAAATACGGAAAGTATTTATCAAAATAATAATGCAACAAAAACTTCCAGAGTGGAAGGCTACCACTGTCTAGTATATCTACCTGAAAGAAATACAGAGCATGAGGCAGGAGTTTGGGTCTAGAGGGTAAGGTGCTATCTAGGACACCTGCACCTCATGAGAGTGCCTCCACTCCTGATTCCAGCTTCCTGCTAATGCACACCCTGGGAGACAACAGGTGATGATTCAGGTAGAGGGGTCACTGCCATCCATGTGAGAGACAGGAGCTGAGTTCCCAGTTCCTGGCTTCAGCCTGGCCCATCTATTGTGGCTATTTGGTGAGTAAAGAAGTAGATGGGAGACTTCTATCCATCTGTCTCCCTCTGCCTTTTGAATAAAATTTAAAACTATAAAAATAAAAATAACGTAAGGGCTGGCATTGTGGTACAGTCGGTGAAGCCACTGCTGGCAACACCGGCATCCTACATGAGCTGTGATTTGAGTCCTGGGTGCTCCACTTCTGATTCAGCTCCCTGCTAATGTGCATGAGAAAGCAGCAGCAGGATGGCCCAAGTGTTTGTGCCTTTGCCAACCAAAAGGGAGATCCAGCTGCAGTTCCAGTCTCCTGGTTTAGGCCTAGCCTAGCGCCAGCCATTGCAGCCATTTGGGAGTGAACCAGGGGATAGGAGATCTCAATCTCTCCAACTCTGTTTTCAAATAAATAAATAAATCTTTTAAAAAATTTTTTAAACTGTAATTACTCTGTAATTTAAAATTTCCTAATAACTACATTAATAAAGATGAAATTCATTTTAATAATGAATTTTAACTTTATATATCCAAATGTTACTTCAACATGTAATCAATACCAAAAAAAAGATTTTTTTACTTTCCTCTTTTGCATTGGGTAGTCTACACTTACAGCACATCTCAATCCTGAACAGGCATATTTCAAGGGCTCACATGTGACTACTGGCTATTGCAGTGGACAGTGTGGGAACAGAATGAAACTCTATAAGCCGTAACTATACAATGAATGAAAAGAACTCACTTTAAACCAATATAAAGATCAGAAATGAACCGAGTACAAAAGCCTCCAAAAAGAAGTAAGACAGGATATACAAAGGAACAGAGTTAAAATGCCCCAAACATCTTACAATGTAATAAGGTCATCAAAATTTTGAGGAAAAATGATTTTCACACTGAATATTCTATATCCAAACACTATCAAGAGAGAAGACATTTTAAGATGTATACAGCTCAAAAAACATCTACTTCTTAGGTATCCTTTCTAGAGAACCTATAAGAGAAAATAAGAAAATGAGTAAATAAAAGAATAAAAGTAGGAAAAACAAAAATATGAAATGTAGGAAAATAGGTGACCTAGCACTACAGAGAAGTAAAGGATAGGATCACAGCTCCACAGCAGATCTAGAAGGTTCAATTTAAATATAATTAAAAATTTATGAAAAACAATGACAGGCACAAAACAGATAAATGGAAATGAGAAAAAGTTAAGTCTTGGCATTTATAGAAACCTATGTAAGTTTAAAAAATGTCAACTTTGAACTTTAGGAAAACTAAAAGTTATACAGATATTAACTATGGTCGTACATTAAGTTATAACATACATACTTATAAGGCACATAATGACTAATGGTTTAAAATCACATAATATTACAAAATAAGGGAAAACAAAGTTTTATTTGATTCTGCAGGGGACAGAAGAGTTAAACCTCATCTATTATAACAGGAAGTCAGTAATGGTTAAAAGTTACAAAAAAAAAAGTTGTTTCACCTGGAGGACAAAACCGAGGCTAAAAACACTACTGTTTTTCCTAAGACTTTTATTCTTTAAACCAAGGGACATGCAGTTACCTTATAAAATTAAATTTGGTGCAAAAAAACTGAAATGTATACTTTTTTTATAATATGCATTTTCTATGACCTTCTAAATAGCTGTTATATACAATATATGATAAAGCTTACCCATGAACCTCAGGGGACAGCTATGGAAGTGGATAGCTTGGAAGATATAAGTCAACTGTATCTGCAACTTTCTTTTTTGCAAGAATATGTTTTTAAATGTTAGTATCTGATAATTCTAAGGGACAAAATATGAGTTTGTGTCTTTCTAAAATAATCATTCAAAAAACTGGAAAAAAAATAAAAATAGGGGGTTGGTACTATGATGCAGCAGGTCAAGCCACCCTCTGCAATGCCAGCATCCTATACTGGCGCTAGTTCGAATCCTGGCTGCTCCACTTCCAACCCAACTCTCTGCTAATATGCCTCAAATTAACAACTCAATAAACAGTTATCGGTCCATCTACAAATAAACTCAGGCCACCAATAACTGTAAACATTATACATGTGCTCCCTAGCACTTTTCTCCACCTGCCTCCCCAAAAAGTTTAGATTCAACTTCTCTTTCTTAAATGTCTATTTCATGTAATTTACTTTTGTCTCTCAAATTCTATAATTTGTTTTGTTTAAATCTAGCAATGACCCCTCTGGATGCCAAAGCAAGTAGTACTTGGTCGTTACCTGACTTTCTCAGCAGGGTCTGAGCGTCTTGACCATAGAACACTTTTCCTTGGGAGACGCTGGCTAGCCTAGTGATTAAGACACTCACATCCCACAACGGAGAATCCCAGCTCTGGATCCTGACTGCAGCTTCCTGACAATTAAGATGTTGGGAGGCAGTGGTGATGGCTCAAGTAATTGGGTTCATGTCACCCATGTAGGAGACCTGGATTGAGTTTCTGGATCTTGGCTTCCACCCTGGCTCAGGACCAGCATTTAGGAGCGATTCATCAGATGGAAGCTCTCTATTAGATCCTTGTTTCTGTGTCTCAATTGAAAAAACAAAAACAAAAGCCTCTCCTTTAATTTTAGAGTCACTAAGATAGTTGCTTTTTTTTCACTCTACCTCTACAGCTACTTCTTGTCTCCTTTTTCTTTTCCCCAACTCTAATTTAAAGGGCTTAGGAACCAGTGTTTAACACTGTGTTGTTCTTTTCTGTTTCTCTCGATCAGAGGCTACCCATACCTTCATGGCTTCAAATACAAATTTAATGTATATAAGTGCCATACAACAACTTTGTCTCTAGTGCAAATCTCATGCACCTGAAACTACTTTGACTTCAAAATCAAGTGCTAACAACTTGCATATAAAAGTCTGTGGCATATCAGACTTCTCCGCTTTTTCAATAAGGCTTTTAAGGCAAGTTGTCGTTTCTTTTATATCACAATAAACCCAGTATTTAACACAGTGCTGGCATATGATAGTGTTCACTGTACAAGTAAAGAAAGGCAACCAATTTTTATCAAGATTATTGTATTGTCTTAGTCACCCAAGCTTGTGAAGTTAGAGCAATATTTTAATCTACTTTCTCTACCTTCATACAATCTGTCAATCTGCTCAGTACTATCACTGTTTTCATCTACCTCTAACTTTCCACTCCCAAAACAATTAGTCTAACCTAGACATTAGCTCCACTGTATAAATTACATTACATCCTGCTTGCTTTACTTAGTCTCTATCTGCTCCAACAAATGCCATATACCACTGCAACATCTTTATCATTTCATCAATCAAAAACATCATTTCTATAATGCTACAGAGTAACTCCATATGCACTAAATTGTCGCACTACTCAAATATACTTCCTGTCAAGAATATCCTCCCTGCCCAATAGTTCCTTGTTTATAATAAACTTTTCCTCAATTTTCTCCCAGACCACCATGCCGCCTTTGATATTCTATTAGCATGTTGCTTTGACACAAGTACTGACAGAGTAAAAACATGCTACCTTTAGGGTAATTATTTTTTTTATTAATCTTCTCTCTTCTACACTGTGCACACCCTAAGGGCAGTAATTTTTTAATACATTCTTAACACTTAGGGTGGTATCTGTCCATCATGTGTACTTAAACGTGTATTTCAATTAAAAATGAGAAATGGAAAATCAGCATTCTTCATAAAAATTCTACATTTAAAATAGATTATAACTTACTAACTTTAGTGTCAACCTTAATTCTTATTCTGACAGATAATTGTGGATTTTATTACCATAGGGTATCCCAAGGCGTTCTTGTTCTTTCCTGTAACCTTCCAGTGCAGCAGCCCATCTTGTCACCTGCTCTGAGGTTTCATCTGAAATGGTCGTGATATGTTTTGTGCCATCAAGGGTTATCACTTGAGCTTCCTCAACAAGGTGTGCTTCTGCTTCAGCATGATGGGCATCTGGATCAATGACCACTTCAACGGTTTCCGCAGTTTTAACAATCTCAAGGATGTTCAGTTTGGGCTCGATTCCTTAACAAATTAAAAGCAAAAGTTATGAATCTAAATTGAATCACAGAAGATTTTTTAAAAAGTATGTGTTCTCTAAAGATATGATTTTAAATGATTTTAGTAATGGTTCCATAGAAGTTAACATCACTATTAATAATAAATATAATTGTAAATATAATTGATTCTGTAATAAAAGAATTGCATCAATATTAATTTTCTGATTTTGATACCTGTACTATGGTCATTAATTAGGAAAAATGGTACTAGTTCTTACCAGAATAAAATTTTAAAAATATTAAAATAAAAAGTACTAAACATGGAGTTCGAAATAAAACAGATTAGGGGAAATCCAACTAAGTAGTGAGCCATTCTCAGGATTTGAAAAAGAAAATCTGGGGATGGCGTTGTGGTACAGTGGGTTAAGCTGCCCCTGGCAAAACCGGCTTCTATGAGAGCTGGTTTAAGTACCATCTGCTCCACCTCTGATTTGGCTTCTTGCTACAGTGCCTGAGAAAGCAACAGAAGATATCCAGATGGTGTTCCTGGCTCCTGGCTTCAACCTGGTCCAGCCCTGGCCATTGTGACCATTTGGAGAGTGAAGCTGTAGTTGGAAGAGCTCACTTACTCTAACTTGGCCTTTCAAATAAAATACTAAGAAAAAAATAATAACTTTCTAAGCAAATAAAAATTAATTAATTACTAATTTCTGCTCTTTTTATAGGACGAACTGTGTTAAGAATGATGCCGAGTTTATTAAAGTCACATCAAATCCTGAGGATATTCAAGCCATTGTATGAAGGTGTTAAAAACTGTAATTCCTATGGAAATAAAAAAAATTAAAATGAGGCAAATGATTTATCAATACAGAGACTCCTCAATGCTTGATGCAGGATGAAAACATTTAAACCTATGTTTCATAAATTATAATTAAGAAATTATGCCATAAAACAAGTATTTAGTCATATCTATACAATTGTAAGATATACTATGATTATCTATTCAAAGCAGAATAACCAGCCCTTTATGATACTTATGTTAAACTGATAGCTCTAAAAAACTATAATACTGCTGAATAGCTATTGTTTGCTTATTAAATGTAACAGTCTATGTCAAAATTTAATCAAGTACATCTGAAGCAGAAAGTAAAATTCAATTTCAGTCTCCTGTGAAAATTAGTATTACAAGAAAATGGACACACAACCATTCATTAGAGGGCATAAGGGGAAGCTGCTTTTTCAAGTACAACTGAAAAAAATAATCAGAATTTAAAAAAAAAAACTTTATTAAGATATATTCCCTAATCCTATTACTGTTTTTCCTATTTGGTGTTGTGTACTTAATTTTTTTTCAAACAGAAAGATGTCTATTTCACAAATATATAGTAAATTTTAATAGTCACATGATTAAAACTACTACAGTGTGTTATTCTTTTTTTTTTTTTTTTTTTGACAGGCAGAATGGATAGAGAGAGAGACAGAGAGAAAGGTTTTCCTTTTGCCGTTGGTTCACCCTCCAATGGCCGCCACGGCTGGCGCACTGTAGCCAGTGCACCGCGCTGATCCGAAGGCAGGAGCCAGGTGCTTCTCCTGGTCTCCCATGGGGTGCAGGGCCCAAGCACTTGGGCCATCCTCTACTGCCTTTCCTGGCCACAGCAGAGAGCTGGCCTGGAAGAGGGGCAACCGGGACAGAATCTGGTGCCCCGACCGGGACTAGAACCCGGTGTGCCGGCAATGCTAGGTAGAGGATTAGCCTAGTGAGCCGCGGCGCCGGCCATATAATTCTTAATAATCTGTTTGACAATGACTTAAAACAAAGCTTGACAAAACACTGTTATTTGCAGCAAAACTGACATACACAGGCATTTCTTTTTTTGTTTCTTAATTTTAGCTCCCACATATAAGGAAAAACACATAGTATGTGTCTTTCTGTGTCTGGCTTATTTCACTCAACATAATTTGCAACCACTGTGATGCAAATGATAGAATTTCATTTTTTATAATCGAATAATATTCCATTACATACACACACATATACTACATTTTCTGTATCCATTCATCTGATCATGGACACTTTGGTTGACTCCACACTTTGTTTATTGTGAATAGCGCGGCTATAAACATGATGGTGCAGGTATTTCTAACACAGTGTGTTCATGCTTTTTGGGTATATACCCAGTAATGGGACTGGTGGATGATATGACTAGTTTGTTTCTAGTTACTAAAGAAATGTCCATACTGTTTCCCACAGTAGGTATACTAACTGATATTTCCACCAACAATTTCCCTTTCTCCACATCATCACCAGCATTTGTTCTTTCAGATAACAGCCATTCAGACAGGGGTGAGATAATTCTCTCCCTGTGGTTCTAATTTGCATTTTCCTGATGTCTAGTGCCTAATCCTCTAATTACATACTAAGGGCATTATGTAATGATTCAGCGATCAATTCAGTGGAGGATGTAACTATAATAAATACATAAGCAACCAACTACATGGTACCTGACTGTTTAAAAGACATGTTAATAGAGGGGCCGGTGCTGTGGCACAGTGGGTTAAAGCCCCAGCTTGCAGCGCCGGCATCCCGGCTGCTCCACTTCTGATCCAGCTCTCTGCTATGGCCTGGGAGGGCAGCAGAAGATGGCCCAACTCCTTGGGCCACTGCATCGGTGTAAGAGACCTGGAAGAAGCTCCTGGCTTCAGCTCAGCTCAGCTCTGGCCATTGCAATCATTTGGGGAGTCAACCAGCAGAATGGAAGACCTCTCTCTCTCTCTGGCTCTACTTCTCTCTATAACTCCTTTGTCTTTCAAATAAATAAAATAATTCTTAAAAAAAAAATGTTGATGCATCTGAAGGGAAACACAGACTCAAACACAATAGTAATGTAAATACCCCACTTTCAGTAATAGACGGATCAACCAAACAGAAAATCAGCAAGGAAACAACTGAGTTAATTGACACTATAAAGCAAAGGGACCTAAGCAGTATCTATAGAACTTTTCACCCCACAGTGGCAGAATACACATTCTTCTCATCGGTGCATGGAACTTTCCCTAGGGTAGACCACACACTAGGCTATAAAGCAAATTTCAGCAAATTCAAAAAAATCAAAATCATACCATGTATCATCACTGACCAAAATGGGATAAAGCTGGAATCAATAGCTCAAGAATCTCTAGATACACAAACACACAGAGACTGAACAACATGGTCCTGAATGACCAGTGGGTCATAGAAGAAATCAAAAGATACATCAAAAAATTTCTGGAAACAAATGAAGACAATACATCATATCATATCAAAACTTATGATAGAGCAAAAGCAGTGTTAAGAGGTAAGTTTATAGGAATCAGTGCCTACATAAAGAAATTGGAATGCCACCAAATAAATGAGCTATCAATGCATCTCAAGGACCTAAAAAAACAACCAAACCCAAAATTAGTAGGAGGAAAGAAATAATTAAAATTAGAAAATAAACAAAATTGAAACAACAAAATAAAACCCAAAATATCACTGAAATGAGAAACTTTCTTTTTGAAAAAACAAACAAAAATGATACAATACTGGCACAACCGGAAAAAAAAAAAAAAAAAAAAAAGAGAAGATCCAAATCAATAAAATCCGAGATGAAAAAGGAAATGTAACAACAGATACCACAGAAATAAAAAGAATCATCAAGAATTACCACAAAATTACTACTAAAAATTACTAAAATTTGTATGCAAACTAATTGGGAAATCTAGAGGAAATAGATTCCTAGACATATACAATCTACCAAAATTGAGTCATGAAGACAGAAAACCTCAACAGACCAATAACCAAGACATGGATTAAATTAGTAACAAAGACCCTCCCAACAAGGAAAAGTCCAGGACCGGACAACTTCACTGCTAAGTTCTACCCAGACATTTAGAGAAGAACTAATTCCAGTTCTCCTCAAGCTATTCCAAACAACTAAAGGGAGGGAATCCTCCCAAACTCCTTCTGTGAAGCATGCATCATCTTAATTTCTAAGCCAGGAAAAGATGCAACAGACAAAGAGAACTACAGACCAATATTCCTGATTAACATAGACACAAAAATCCTCAACAAAACATTAGTTAATTGAATTCAAGAACACATCATTCACCTGAACCAAGTGGGATTTATCCCTCATATGTGGGATGGTTCAACATTTGCAAATCAATGTGATATATCATACTAACAAACTGAAGAACAAAAACCACAGTTCTCCCAAAAGATGCAGAAAAACGATTTGACAAAATACAACATCCTTTCATGATGAAAACTTTAAGCAAACTGGGTACAGAAGAACATTCCTCAACACAATCAAGGCAATTTATGACAAAACCACAGCAAGCATCCTATTGACTGGGGAAAAGCTAGAAGCATTGCCCCAGGATACAGAACCAGATATGTATGCCCACTCTCACCATTGCTACTTAATATAGTACTGTAAGTTTTAGCCAGAGGGGCCGGCACTGTGTCATAGCAGGTAAAGCCACCACCTGCAGTGCCGGCAATCCCTTATGGGCACCGGTTCAAGTCCTGGCTGCTCCATTTCCGATTCAGCTCTCTGTTTTGGCCTGAGAAAGCAGTAGAAGATGGCTCAATTCCTTGGGCCCCTGCATCCGCGTAGGAGACTGGGAAGAAGCTCCCAGCTCTAATTGGTGTAGCTCCAGCTGTTGAAGCCAACTAGGGAGTGAATCATCATCGGATGGAAGACCTCTCTCTCTCTCTCTCTCTGTGTAACTCTTTCAAATAAACAAATAAATCTTAAGAAAAAAAAAGTTTTAGCCAGAGCCATTAGGCAAGAAAAAGGAATGAGATACAAATTGGAAAAGAGGAAATCAAACTATCCCTATTTTATATGGTAAGATCCTATACATGGGGATCCAAAAGACTCCACTGACAGACTACTGGAACTCAAAACACAGATTGGTAAAGTGGAAGGATTTAAAAATCAACAGGGAAAAATCAAGAGCCTTTGTATACACAAATAATATCATGGCTGAGAAGGAGCTTTTACGATCAATCACATTCACAATAGCTCCCAAAAGAATCAAATACCTTGTAATGCATTTAACCAAAATGTCAAAGACCTCTATGATGAAAAATAAATAAACAGAAGATATTAAAAAATGGAAAAATCTTCCATGTCCATGGATTCAAATAATCAACATCATCAATGTCCATACTACCAAAAGCAATTTACAGATTCAAGGTGATCCCAATCAAAATACCAATAAAATTCTTGTAGATCTAGGAAAAAGAAGATGCTAAAATTGTGGAAACACAAGAGACCCTAAAGAGCTAAAACAATCTTATACAACAAAAACAAAGCTGCAGGCTTAACAATACCTGATTTCAAGCCATGTTACAGGGCAGTTGTAATAAAACAGCTTGGTATTGGCACAAAAACAGACTTGTAGACCAGTAACAGAAACTCCAAAAATCAATACATGCATCTACAAGCAACTTATCTTTGACAAAGAAGCTAAAATCAATCCCTGGAACAAAGAGTCTCTTTAACAAATGGTGCTGAAGAAACTAGATCTCCACATGCATTAGTATGAAATTAGACCCCTACCTTACACCTTATACATAAATCCACTCAAAACTGATCAAAGACCCAAATCTACAAATGATACCATCAAATTATTAGTTCACACTGGGGAAACTCTGCTATATTTTGGCATAGGACAAGACTTCTTGGAAAAGATCCCAGAAGCACAGGCAATCAAAGCCAAAATTGACAAGTGGGATTACATCAAGCTGAGAAGCTTCTGCACTGCAAAAGAAACACTCAGCAACAAGAGGAAAGCGACAGAATGGGAGAGAATATTTGCAAACTATGCAACTGATACAGGCTTAACATCCAGAATCTATAAAGAGCTCAAGAAAATCAACAACAAAACAATCCAGTTAAGAAATGGGCACAGGACTCAAACTGGCATTTTTCAAGAGAGGAAATTCAAACGGCCAAAAGACACTTGAGAACATGCTCAGGATCACTAGCTGTCAAAGAAATGCAAATCAAAACCTCAATGAGATTTCATTTCACTCCGGTTAGAATGGCTCTTATACAGAAATCCATAAATGACAAGTACTGGTGAGGATGTGTGGAAAAAGGTACCCTCATCCACTGTTGGTGGGAACGTAAACTGGTACAGCTATTGTGGAAGACAATATGGAGATACCTCAGAAATCTGAATACAGACCTACTATGGGATTCAGCCATCCCACTCCTGGGAATTTACCCAAACAAAAAGTAATCAGTATATGAAAGAGTTATCTGTACCCCCATGTTCACTGCAGCTCAATTCACAACAGCTAAGATATGTCCATCAACTGTTGACTGGATAAAGAAATTATGATGTATAAACACTGTGGAGTATTACTCAGCTGTAAAAAAAAAAAAAGAAAGAAAGAAAAAGAAAAAGAAATCCTATCTTTTGCCACAAAATGGATGCAACTGGAAACCATTATACTTAGTGAAATAAGCCAGTCCCAAAATGATATCATACGTCTTCCCTGATCTAAGGTAACTAATAGAGTACCTGAAAAGTAATGCATTGGAGTGAAATAGACATTTCGAGATTCAATAATTGTTTATAGTCTTTTTCTCTTCCACTGAGGAAAAGTGGTCTTTTTTTTTTTCTTTTTCTCTTCATACTATTAGCTGAACTCTTTTTTTTAAGTAGAGTAGAGTTAACTATATGATCATTAAGTATTACTGAAAATAGATCCTTATGAAAAGTAAGAGTGAGAGGGAGGGCCAAGGCAGGGTCAGAGCATAGGCAGAAGTGAGGGTGGTGGAAGTGTCACTACGTTCCAAATCTGTATATTTCAAATGTATGAAACTTGTATAACTCAAATAAAATTTGGAAAAAAAAAAAAAAGAGGTCACTAGGCTTATAAAGACAAAAACAGTGAATTTCTTCAACAGTTAATCCTATGGGGATTAAGGATTAGAAGTACATAACTACCAATTTCAAAGTCTGAAGAAAACTTTGGCTTATTAAAACACAAAATATACCCCTCCAAAAAAAGAATGCATAATGTATCTACAGAATTTAACAGATCACTATTGATAATAAAAACAATTCAACAGAACTTCTATAATAACAGAATTGTCTGAATATTAATTTCTCAATTTGATATATTATGAAACAAAAAATTGTGGGCAAATATGTTCAGAAACTAAATTATTCTAAAACTCACGTCAGATATCCCAACAAACAATATTTTTAAAAACTAAATTTCAGCCTACAACAAATGGTTTCCCAATTTTGTAATGTGTGTACTTATACATGATTAGTAAAATTCTGTGATGGCTATGGCTGACTAGGTCACTTCCCATGCTTCTCACATTCTTCTCTCAGTGCTAAACTGTAGAGACAATTGTAGGCATAATTCCAGGCTGATTTAGGCTTTATATTCATCAGTGTAAACCTTCTTTGGAAATGAGTTAAAAGGACAAGGAGGCACATGGCATCCAAATGCTGACTAGTGTAGATCGCTGAAAGGGCAGGATGGTTCTAAGCTGACAGCCACAGTAGCTGCTTCCATTTGTAGTATTTTCCATACGGAGTAGGGCTGCAGCTTCCTTGGCAGTCCAATGTGACTGAGACATTTTTAGGAAGTGAGCTAGAACCTTCCAGGCCTCTTTGTGATTCCGCTGTTTGCTTTAGTATAATACATCCCCCTTAAGGATTAAACTAGGTGGAACGGTGCTATATTACGCGAAAGATACAACTAAACCAAGAGCATGAGCGTATGGCTATAACACCGCACTATCATTTAGACAACTATCTAAAACATAAAATTTGAGTTAATATATCAGAAAGTCATGAGCTAAACTTACCTTGGTAAGAAATTACCTGTACACTAAGCTGTACAGTTCCATCTGTCTTTACTCCTTGGTCAAATAAACTTCGTTCTGGATCCAGCTAAACATGGATAAAATGAAGAAAATGCTCAATCATTAGACGAAGGCACCTGTTTCTGGTTTAAATGGGCATAACCAAATAGGACTTAAAATACTTTTAACATAGCAACTGAATTATAAGAACATATTTAATTACACAATTTGCCATATTATGTAACTATTTGTGAAGACTGAAAATATTTCAACCACTGATGGAGTCATTAAGGATAATATAAACCATCATATTAATTTTATGTAGCAGTTTTCCCTAGCTCTGGATTCTAGTTTAGGATCTTAAATAATGCTAAAGGCAATTATTTATTCTATAAATGCATTTAAAGCTGAATATAATGTAGTACCTGCTATGAATAAGTAGTTAATTAGTAGTGACCACTCCTCTGAATCTATTAACACAGTACCGTCATATTTCCCTTGTAATAAATGCCACATCTCTGATCACCAAGTTATTAAAACTGAAGGATTTATGACCTTACTATTTTACTGACTTATGAATATCTTGTCATAATTCTATATTACTTCATAGTAGTGTTTTTCCCCTTTTTTCTCCTCAAGGTGAAATGTATTTCACACAGTGATAAGCTGATGATTAAAAAAAATAGTAATAATTCTAACTTCTAGATACTTTCTGTTACCTTGCAAGCAGGATTCTATTATAATTGCCTTAATAATACCTGTGTATGTCTGTCCATCATGTAGCTGAAGGTACAAGCTTCCTCACTCTAATTCTCAAGAATTCAACTGATACATGGTATCAAACACATTTTCTAATATTAAGAATGTCATATGTAAACCCATAACATAAGTGATTATTCATCTAACTGAAGAGGAAGAAGACAAACCGTGTAACCCTGTAGAGATAAGGATAAACTTGGCAGTTTCACTCCTTAATATACAGTCTCTATCTGACATCTTGCTAAAAATTCTCCTAACAACAAAACATTTTTCTCTTTGTTTAACAGATATTAGTTTTATTTAATTGAACCTATGAAATGTGTAACTCTGAAAGTAAGCACTAAGGTACTGAATATACTAGCTAGTTGTTAAGACCTAGCACAAGAACAAAACTGAAGCACAATGTTAATTTTCTAAAATATTCTTCAAAGTACAACTCAGCTGTTGTTCCATCAGCATTCAAGTTAGCATACATCTGAAACTGTAAAAGCATTAACACAGCAGCAAGCTTTCAGACTCCAAACCTATGGCAGCACTCACTGACACACACAACATACATTGTCATCCTCACGTTCATTTTCAGGATACAGGGTAGAATGCAAGAACAGTTGGGGCATGGGTGGGAGTGATGGTAGGGGAAATTATCACTATGTTCCTAAATCTGTATATATGAAATACATGAAACTTGTATAACTTAAAAAAAAAAAGCCACCAAAAAGAAAGTGACCTTACCTCCAAGACTAACTCTGAATCCTGACAAGCCACTGTACTTGACCATATTTCCATTTATTCAACTAATATTTATTGTGCACTTTACAAACTATACTTTCATTGTGGACAGGTCAGTTATTATGAAAGGTCATGTATTATGAAAGACAACTAAGTACAGCCTTCTTTTAATGTACAAATGAGAAAAATCAGGTAAAGTCCAGTAACACTGAGTTACTCACTAGAAACCTTTAAAATGTCTGCCTCAAACAAATGAACAGTTTTAGAGTCACACAGGCTTGGCTTCAAATCCCTTTTTAGCTACACATTGGGCAAATTATTTAACCTCTTTAAATCTGTTTCTACATCTACACAAAAAGGATAAATAATTATATTGACTTCAAAGACTGATTTAAAAAATTAGATAATTAGATACTTATCCAAGTATCTTTTCACTCAACATATCCTGCCTATACAGCTTTAGTTCAGTAATTTTTCATGGCTACTTTGAATTACACTGTATGGAATTCATTGAATCTCCTGGTTTTGGAATGTTTGGGTTGCTTTCAGTTTTTGCAAAACCATGAATGAACATCCTCATACATATACCTTTGCCCGGCCTGGTGAGTGTTTCTCTGGAAACAATTCATTGAGGTGGAACTGTTACATTTCACTTTTAACATCAAGATATTCAATGCTTGACTGCCTTCCAAAAAGGCTGTGCTAATCTCACTCTTAAGAAAAAAATCTTATATCACTAAAATCGTTAACAGTTCTAGACTCACCTATATATCCTAGTTTTACCATTACTAGACATAGATTAAAAAAAAGATTAAAATAGGATTAAATGGTAGCTGAAACACACAAACCTCATTACATTTGAATTAACTGTACAATAAATCTTATTTAAAATAGTAGTATTATACAATGATGTGAATTTTTTAAAAATTAAGGCAAAACTAATACTAAGTATATCTCAAAGCATATGGAGAAGTAAAGAATAAAACCAAATATGAAAAATGAAAAAATATATATTAGTATAAAAATATAAAATTCTAGTACTTATTCATATCTTTAAGGAAGATCATAGAGAAACTATTTGAGCAATTCTATTTAGGACACTACCTTTCATATACCAAAGTACTTCTTCAAAGAGTATCATAAAACGTTAACTATGAATATGCTACAATACATTATTATAATACTACCATGGATAAAACCTTATTGAAATAAAATTCCAACTAAAATCAGTTAATATTTTAATTCCTATCCAAAATTCACTGCCAGAGAAAATGAAATGAATGTAAAAATTATTTAGTCAAATTATTTATTTTAAAGATAAAGAAGCTGACAAACAAGCTGAATGCTGCCTAGAAATACAATTTCTAGGCTTCTAAGGTCAATCTACCTTCCACTATTCTATATTTAACCTCTGATTCAGGTGGGGCTGGCACTGTGGCATAGCAGGTAAAGCTGTGACATGCAACACTGGCACCCGATATGAGCACAGGTTCATGTCATGGCTGTTCTACTTCCAACCCAGCTCCCTGCTAATAGCCTAGGAAAAGCAGCAGAAGATGGTCTAAGTAGTTGGGTCCCTTTCACCAATGCGGAAGACCTCAAAGAAACTCCTGGCTTCAACATGGCACAGTCCAGGCCTCTGCAGCCATCTAGGGAGTAAGCCAAGGGATGGAAATTCTCTGTTTCTGTCTCCTTTTTTCTGTGTAACTCTGATTTTCAAGTAAGTCCTTTAAAAAAAAGGAAAAAAGCCCCGATTCTGATTTAGTAAACTTACCATTTTACATTGAAGTAAAAGGCAAAATGTTTAATTTGCTGTTCAACCTTTTAAAATTAATATTGCTTTTAAAATATAATTTTAAATGGAGGAAATTTTGCTCAAAGAATTTATTTCATATGCTCACATTTTGTTAACACGAGTCGATCTACTTACACAGGTAAAGGCTATAGCTATACAGATAAAAGACTAACAAAAATGCTACTATAAGGGGCCAGCATTGGCTACCTGCAATGCCAGCATTCCTTATGGGCTCCAGTTCAAATCCCGGCTGCTCCACTTCCAATCTAGCTCCCCAGTAATGCGCCAGGGAAAAGCAGCAGAAGAGGGCCCAAGTCCTTGGGTCCCTACTTCTATGTGGAAGACCCTGATGAAGCTTCCGGTTCTAGGCTTCAGCCTGGCCCAGCCCCCAGCCTGGCTCAGCCCCAGCCACTGCAGCCATCTGGGAAGTGAACCAGTGGATGGAAGATCTCCTTTCTCTTTGTGTCTCTCCCCCTCTCTGTCTCTGTAACTCTGCATTCAAATAAATAAAATAAATCTTTAAAAAATATATTAGTATGCTGATTGAAATACTGAAAAACAAAATAAAATAAAAATTACCTGGATATCTTGCAGACAAATTTCATGAGCATCCAATGAACACTGCAGTCTTGGTTCTAGCAGTTTCTTTAAATTGCCTATTGGTTCATTGATGTCTATGGCCTGGCTTACACATTCAGCTGGGGTGTAGGTTTGTTCTACAATGCTAAATGTTAAAGGATATAGGGTTAACAATTACATTTTTGCCCTGGATATTATAGTACTAATACCCTCAGAGATGGCACTGTGGTGCAGTGTGTTAAGCAGAGACGTAGGACACGCTAGTTACAGCTGTTCCACTTCCTATCCAGCTCACTACCAATATGCCTGGGAAAGAAGCAGCAGATGGCTCAGTTGGGCCCCTACCACTCATGCAGGAGACCTGGTTGGAGTTTCAGGCTTCTGGCTTCAGCCAGGCACAGCTCTGGCCATTGCAGCCATTTGGGGAGTGAACCAGTGGGTGGAAGATCTCTCTCACTCTAACTCTTTTAAATAAATAAATTGTTAAAAATAAAGTAACAATATTCGATACCAAAAACACATTTCTGGTGTTTGAAAACTCATTTCTTCATGGATATTGTGGTAAGGTCATCATCAATTAGTGTCACCAAACTGATCACTGAATTTTACTGTGAAATGTTAGTTTGAGATTTAAAGCATCCTTGAAAATATGCTTCAATCTGCTTACACATATAGATATTGCATATATAATAATCAAAGAGAAATGCTCACATCTGTATTACAGTTATAAGTTGTTTTGAACAATTTTAGAGCCAGAAAGGACAATACAGTGTCTCCTCAAAGTAGATATACCAGAGGTGTGCTTTTCCAGTTAAGGTCTCACTTGGGATACTTGCATCCCACATAGAATGCTTGGGTTTCTGTTCTGGCTCTGCTCTCTATTCCAGCTTCCAGCTAATCCACATCCTGGGAGACAGCAGGTGATAGATACTTCAAGTACTTGGGTCTCTGTCACCCAGGTGGGAGACCTGCACTGAATTCCCAGCTCACGGCTTCAGTATAGTCCAGCCCTGACTGCTGCAGACATTTGGGGAGTGAACCAGCAGATGGGAGATCTCCCATCTGTGTGTCCCTTTCTCTGCCTTTCAAATAATATTTAAAAAAAAAAAAAAAAACATATGTATGCCATCTCTAATCGTCAATTTCCCTACCCAATGTAAAACCAACTTAATAAGTATAAGTGGATAAGATATGAAAACATATGTTAAATAAAATACTTTCCATTTCATTTAATTTAAATACTACTGGTTATAATCAACATAGTTCCACATAAAAAGAGTAAGATTTGTATTCCTTCTTTTTCTTTTTTATTTGACAGGTAGAGTTAGAGACAGCGAGAGAGAGAGAGGGAGGGAGAGAGCGCGTGCGCGCGAAAGGTCTTCCTTCTGTTGGTTCACCCCCCAAATGGCCGCCATGGCCGGAGCTATGCAGATCTGAAGCCAGGAGCCAGGAGCTTCCTCCTGGTCTCCCATGCGGGTGCAGGTGCCCAAGCACTTGAGCCATCCTCCACTGCCCTCCCAGGCCACAGCAGAGAGCTGGACTGGAAGAAGAGCAACTGGGACTAGAACCTGGCGCCCATATGGGATGCCGGCACAGCAGGAGGAGGATTAACCAAGTGAGCCATGGCGCCAGCCCCTGTATTCCTTCTTAAGAACCTTTTTTGGGGCTGGTGCTGAGGCATAGTGGGTAAATCTGCTGCCTGCAGTGCTGGCATTCCTTATGGAATGTTCAAGTCCCAGCTGCTCCACTTCTGATCCAGCTCTCTGTGATGGCCTGGGAAAGCAGCAGCAGATGGCCTAAGTCCTTGGGCCCCTGTTACCCATGTGGGAGACCCAGAAAAAGCTCCTGGCTCCTGGTTTCAGATCAGCTCATCTACAGCAGTTGCAGCCATTTGGGAAGTAAGCCAGTGGACAGAAGACCACCTACCCCCGTAACTCTTTCAAATCATTAAATAAAATCTTTTAAACAAAAAAGCCCAAAGATAAAGTCTGATTCCTCACTTTAATTATGTACACTGACAATCTAAAAACAAATGATAAATTTAGGAAACACCAACCTTTCTTCTGTACACTCTGATTTCTCTGTTCCGTCAATCTCAATTTCTATCAGCTCTTCTGCTTCTCTCTTAGTCATGGTTGAAGTATTTCAAAAGATCAGTCCTGTAAGAATTTTGAAGGTTTCAAAACCATCTGTACAAACAGAAATGATACACAAGAAATAGAAACCCAAGTGAAAGAAGGGAAAGTAACCTTCACTTATAAAAAAGAAACCACAAATGGCATCTATAAATCAGTTTTTATTTAACTGGTGTTTTTATTAGCCTGACATGATGTCATCATCCTATTGGATTTACTGGGATTTTTTTTTTTGACCCAGTTAATAGGTTAATGCAAGTTACTTCAAAATTAAATGAAGGTTATGTTAGCTCTATTAAAGCAACTCATAGTCTCATTAACAGATTTAAATCTGATGCTTAACATGGAGAGAAATTACAAGTTCTTATCTAAAAGTTGTACCTCACTAAAATTTACTGCAAAGCAATACACCGGTAAGAGAGATACCAAACTAACCACAGGATTTATGTTACAAATTACAATTATGGGGTGGGCATTTGCTGCAGCATTGTGACACCTGGTATGCACATATCCCATACTGGTGTCTGGGTTCAAGTCCTGGCTCCACTTTGATTCTAGCTTCCTGTTAATGTGCACCTTGGCAGACAACAGTAACTGCTCAAGTAGTAAGATCCCTGCCACTCCTGTGGGAGACCTGGATGGAGCTATAGGTTCCTGGCTTTGACCTGGCCCAGCTCTCCATGTTGCAGACCTTTGGGGAGTGAACAAGTGTATGGAAGTTCACTTGCTCTATCTCTGGCTGTCTCTCAATCTTTCAAATAAAAACAAATAAATATTTTAGAAAATTACAAGTATAATACCAATAAGCAAAAACCACAAAATAAAGTAATAAATGACAGATATACACATTATTCCTCCATCACATTTTGAATGACTTTTTTTTCCAACATGGTTTTATTTAAACAAACCACTGGTTCAGTTTTTCATCATCTCAGGTAAAGTTAGTACTTACTGCTTAAACAACCATAGATACAAAAACATTTTGAAAAGGTAAATAGGGGCCAGCACTGTGGCACAGTGGGTAAAGCCGCCGCCTGCTGTACCAGCATCCCATATGGGTGCCAGTTCGGGTCCTGGCTGCTCTACTGCCTATCCCACTCTCCGCTATGGCTTGGGAAAGCAGTAGATGATGTCCCAAGTGCTTGGGCCCCTGCACCTATGTGGGAGATCCAGAAGATGCTCCTGGCTTCAAATAGGCCCAGCCAGCAGATGCAGTCATTTGGGGAGTGAACCAATGGATAGAGGACCTCTTTCTCTCTCTGTAATTCTGCCTTTCAAATAAATGAATAAATCTTAAAAAAAAAAAAAAAAGGTAAATAGTGCATAAAGTAAGTATAATACCCATATACAGTTATTTCTTTGTGGTCATTTCTGAAAAAGCCGCACGTCCCGTTACTAGCTACCTCCCTATAGGTTAATGTTTTCATCTTTGGACTCCATGAGTGGAGTTCACATCATGTTCAGAGTAGTTTTCTAAGTTTACTAGCTTTTTAATCTCAAAAACACACACCATAGACTTAGAAGGATCACTCCCCTAAATTTGGTATTCTAACATTTGTGAGTCTGCTCCCACTAACAAGATTTCATAAATGAATTCAAATATTCATTCCTGTTAACAGTAATCATTATTGAGTGCTTGGCACTGAATTCAAACACTACACAGAACAATCTTATTTCAAGTCCACTTTCATAAGACCCACCAGAGGTAAACAAGGCTAAATTGTCTGCAGTCCATGTCAGTCTTTTATTTATTTATTCATTTATTTTATTTATTTTAAAGAGTTACAGAGAGGGACAGGGACAGGGAGAGGGAGGGAGGGAGGGAGAGACAGGGGGAGGGTAAGGGAAAGAGAGGGAGAGGAGGAAGGAGGGAGGAAGGGAGAAAGAGGGAGAGACAGGGGGAGGGTAAGGGAAAGAGAGGGAGAGAGGGAGAGAGGGAGGGAGGGAGGGAGGGAGGGAGGGAGAGAAGGGAGAGGGGGGAGCGAGAATCTTCCGTCTGGTGGGTCACTCCCTAGATGTCTGTTGGTTTACCCTTATCAACCACACTCAACTCTATAATCTGTCTCTCCTTTATCTCCTTTCCTCTCCAATAATCTGCCATGAATTTATATACCTATTCTCATTCTTCCCCTATTAGATCTTCGTGAAAGTATAAAGAGCAAAACTGTCCAAAAGTGGTCACAGGAATTTAAAGTGTTTCTTTGGATTTGGGGTTTCTTTTACCCTCTTCAAGTGGCAGGGGGCCTCACCAGGTCACTACTTCTCAAAGGATGAAGGGTTCTGTGCCAGGTACAACAGTGACCCAGACTTGTAAATATGGAAGTTACATGGCAAAGGGGAATTAAGACTGCAGAGACAATTAAGATTACTAATCCACTGACTTTAAAATCCTGAGTTATCTATGTGAGCCCAATGAAATCACAACATAGTCCTTAAAAGCAGAAGAAGGAACGTGAAGTGAGAGCCAGACCAACTCAATAAGAGGACTTGACAGGTCAGTTCTGACTGGCTCTGACGCAGGAAAGCAGCCATCAACCAAGGAACAGAGGTAGCTTCTAAAAGTCAGAAAAATAAAGGGATAGAAAAGAATGCAGTTCTATTAACACCTGATTTTAGCCTACAGACCTATTTCAGACTTCTAACATCCAGAACTGTAAGATAATAAAGTCGCGGTGTTTAAATACCATTAAACATGCAGTATTTTGCTATAGTAGCACTAGGAATGTTGCCCCCTCCCCCCCCCATTTTAGAAAGAACTCTAACTCCCCTCAGATCTCAATACCTCCAAATGCTGGGTAGCTGGCTGTCTGACCACTTACTCAATTGTTAACAGCTGGCATCCCAATCTAGTGGCCAAATATAAAAATGGTCTGATTTTGCTCACATTATTAGGGTTGCTCTCACACATGCCCTGTAAGATGGAAGAATACAGGAGTAGTTTTTCACTTAAATAGACACAGATTGTGCACATCCAACATACTGCCTACATTCCAGCTGGCCTCTCTTTGGAATGATGAAACGCAGGACCTTAAGTTTTCTTTTCTTGCTAATGTTAGATTAGTAAGTCTTCCCTTTCCCTACTAAAGCCTATTCCGTAACTGGTGCTACGTGTAAACATGTAGAATTTTCTACACCTGGAAAGCCGGCATCTCACATGGGTGCCAATTTGTGTCCCAGATGCACCAGTTCTGATCCAGCTCCCTGCCAATCACCTAGGAAAAGCAGCAGCAGATGGCCCAAGTGTCTGGGCCCCTACTACCCAACGTGGGAGACCCAGATGATACTCCTGGTTCAGCCTGGCCCAGCCCTGGTTGTTGGGGCCATCTGTGGAGTGAGCTGGAGGGCCGGAGATCTATTTCTCTCTGTAACTCTGACTTTCAAAATAAATAAATAAATAAATCTTAAACAACAACAACAACAACAAAAAAAACTATGGAATTCACCCTGAGCAAAATAGGTAGTGGCCCAGTAGGGACCTTATTTTATGGAACAACATGAGCTTCACAAGGGCAAGGATACATGTTCAGTTACTTTGAACAGCGCTTCCTCTCTGGTGGACATTCTATTAATATCCGCTGAATAAATGGAAGTACAAGGACTATTTCACACTACGTAAAATGAACTCCAGATGCCATAATAAAGGGTTAAATACGAAAAGTAATACTACAAAGTTGATAGAAGAAAACAGTTGAATCTTTTGTTGTCTAATGACAGAAAACAATTTTCTAAACTCTCAAATATAAACCAAAAAGAGAAAAACTTCTGAATTTGATTCATAAAATTCAAAACTCAAAAATCTGATTCAAAAATTCAAAAAAACGCAAGTTACAGAATGGGAAAAGATGTACCCAACACCTAAAAGTGACAAGAGACTAATAAACGGAACAGACAATAACCTCTTAGAAGTTGACAATCCAAAATAAGTCAGGACAAACTAGAAAAGCAGGCCACGTACAGGAAAAGGAAATCCCATAAAGGGAAACCAAAGTGGCTCTAGACAGTAAGATATGCTTACATTCAAATTATTCCAAAATTCCCACTTAAAACAAGAAATTACCACTTTACACAATGTGTGTAGATATGGCAAATGTTAGAAAGTTCAACAATGGGGGCTGGTGCTATGGCGCAGGGAGTTAAACCATTGCCCGCAGCCTCGGCAGCCCATGCGGGCACCAGTTCCAGTTCTAGATGCTCCACTTTCGATCCAGCTCCCTGCTAATGGCCTGGGAAAGCAACTGTCTGTTGGGCATTGCCTAAAATCTCCATTACAATATGGCGCCTGGCAGACGTTCAAAGTGCTTGTCTGCAGCTGCTGCGGTTAAGCTAAGTAAGATCAGACCACTGGCAGGGATAGGTCCGCTTTAGTTCCGGACACACGGGCAGTGCATGATCCCTATACTTTACTTAAGGTGCCCCTGTGCATGGTCCACCCGTGCCTGCGTGACCTTTTCGCTGATTGGCTCCCCTACCGCCTATGTCCTTCGTAAGCTTTATAAGCCTGCACACTTCTTCAGTAAAGTGGTTCCTGCTTTGACAGAACTCACAGGTGCTTGTGGTGTGTTCATCACCCATCGACCTTACCCTTCGCGTTCGCCTTGTTGGGAAGTCTCTGTACTGGCCCCTGCTGGTCAGGGGCCAGCCTCAGACTTGAGACCCCAACAACAGTCGAAGATGGCCCAAGTCCTTGGGCCCCTGCACCCGCATGGGAGACCCAGAAGAAGCTCCTGGCTCCTGGGTTCAGATTGATCGGCGCAGCTCTGGCCATTGCAGCCAACTGGGGAGTGAACCAGCGGATGGAAGACCTCTCTCTCTGCCTCTCCTCTCTCCGTATAACTCTTTCAAATAAATAAATCTTAAAACAAAACAAAACAAAAAACAATAAACCCTTGGTACTTTCATTAATATCACAAAATGGATACAAGACTAACCTTGAAAATTTAACTAGAAACTTTGAAAAAGGCTAGTGTCCTTCAAAATATACATGTAATTCCCTTTTGAAATACAAATTTGAGGACTGTCCTTCACATTATTAGTTTACAGAGCTTAGGACCATTCTTCCTAATGCAGGAAAAAGAAATGTAAGTGCAGTCCAGATGAGTACCTGCATGGTCAACTGCTCATTTTCCCTAGCTTACAAATATTTTTAACACATTTTTATTTTAAAAAATAAAGTTAACATTAAGAAAAACAAAGTCTTGGCCGGCGCCGCGGCTCAATAGGCTAATCCTCCGCCTAGTGGCGCCGGCACACCGGGTTCTAGTCCCGGTTGGGGTGCCGGATTCTGTCCCGGTTGCCCCTCTTCCAGGCCAGCTCTCTGCTGTGGCCAGGGAGTGCAGTGGAGGATGGCCCAGGTGCTTGGGCCCTGCACCCCACGGGAGACCAGGAAAAGCACCTGGCTCCTGGCTCCTGCCATTGGATCAGCGCGGTGCGCCAGCCGCAGCGCGCCGGCCATTGGAGGGTGAACCAACGGCAAAGGAAGACCTTTCTCTCTGTCTCTCTCTCTCACTGTCCACTCTGTCAAAAAAAAAAAAAAAAAAAGTCTCTGTATGTGTGCATACAGGCATGTGCCATGTAAAGGAAAAAGCAAATATGGCGAGCGGTTAATAAATGATGACCCCCACTCCCACCCCAGGCTAGGGTAAGGGGTATACGGGTGTTCACTATATGGTTCAATTTTATTACAGGCTTAAAGATTTTTTTTTTTTAAGAATTATTTATTTATTTGAAAGGCTGAGTTACAGAGAGGCAGAGGCAAAGAGAGAGCAAGGTCTTCCATCCATTGATTCACTTCCCAAATGTCCACAACAGCCAGAGCTGTGCAGAGCCGAAGCCAGGAGCCAGGAGCTTCTTCCAAGTCTCCCATGTGGGTGCAGGGGCCCAAGGACTTGGGCCATCTTCTGCTTTCCCAGGCCATAGCAGGGAGCTGGATAGGAAGTGGAGCAGCCAGGACTTGAACCAGTGTCCATAAGGGATACCAGCACTGCAGACCAGGGCTTTAAACCGCTACACTACAGCGCCAACCCCGGGCTTAAAGTTTTATAAATAATGAGCTGGGGGAAAGAGTACAGTAAAGTTTAAATTTAATATTCGGCCTCTCCATGTTCTCATGACTTGCTTCCAACTTAACTGGCTTAATTAGGTGCTTTATGACTATATGATCATAAAGTCACGTTACATACAATCCAGGTATGATGGACTTGTTTATGCAGTGGCAGGATGTATCTGAAAACGAACAAGTCAAAGCCTGAGTGAGAACGGGTCCTTTAAAGTTGTTGCTGAAGAGTCGACCAATTTATTCTTCAGTTTAAGGCAATGCATGACCTAAGAATGTTCTCACTGCTCTGTTCCACGCGGTCCATGGGAACTCTTGCTAATCTGCTATCTCCGAGTCAGGTGTATTTCTACCGGCGAGAACTGCTTGTGACCAGAATTTCATTTCTAAATTACTACTCATCGCTTCGCTATGCAGTATTAAGACACTGTCTGCTCTGTCGTTATCCGCGCCAAACTCGGAGCCCTGAATCCAAACGTGATCACGGAGCTGTATCTTGTATTGCACGAAACACTATAAAAGTTGGCAAGGTACATTAGCTCTTCGCTAGCTCATTTCCTCGTTTTTAAACAAAAACCCCAAGCAGACATTATCGTCAACAGTACGGTTTTGGAGCAAGTGTGACAGCACGGAGACCTAAGCGGATCTGAAGCGAGTGAATCGCTGAGTCCGGCGAAGCAGACTGGGTCTGCAACTTCCTCCGAAATCCCGGGGCGTCCGACCCAAACCGCGACCACGGGGACAGCGGCCCACCGCGCACAAACCGGCGAGGAGACCGGGAAGCGCGGGGAGGCAGCAGGCGCGCCGCTCCGGGGCCCCGCGCCGCGCGCCCCCCGCCCCTCCCCGCTCCCTCAAGTCTCCACGAACGGAAATGGGAGTCGCGGAGCCGGGGACCAGCGGAAACAAAACACAGAGGCGGCCGCGGGGGGGCCGCGGTGGGGGAAAAGGCCCCGGAACGAGGCCGGCCCGCGCGGGCCCGCGCTCCCTTCCTCCCCCGCGGCCGCACTCACCCGCTCCGGAATCGGCCCTGGCGCTCTCGCCCGCGCTCCGGGGCCGGCTGCGAACGGCAGAGGCGCGGGCTCCACGTGCAGCGTCCCTCCGGGCCGAGCCCTGCAGCTCCCAGGACTCCAAGTGTGAGGCCCCTGGGCCCTTCCCGCGGAATCGGCGCCGAGAAACCCCGAACCCCCTCCCGCCTCCCAGGCTCCCCCGGGTCCGGGACTACAACTCCCAGCAGGGTGCGGGAAACGAGCGCAAGCGGCGCACGAGGCGCCACGTCCCAATCCGCGTGTTTCGCACACTCTCACTTTCCCTGCACATTCACATACACCCCAACAACCCCTAAAGAGCAGGACGCTGCCTAGGAGGGGGGGAGCTTGAACTCGGGACAGGCCAGCCGAAGTGCGCATGCGTAGAGTAAGGTTTCCAGAAGGGAAAAAGCGAACGGGTCAAATTAGGCGAAGGAAAGATGGCGGAGGCTTCGCTAGAGGACCCGGAAGCAGTTACCCTCCACTTCCTCCTCCTGTTTGGCTTCTGTCTCACCTAGAGCCGTCCGGTCGCAGATTGCCTCCGAGACGCTTCCTGTCCGGTGAGTGCCGACCGACTGAAACGGCGGCCCATAATGCATTTCGATGGCGGGTAGGCGTGTGGGGGCGGAGTCAGGGCCGGAAGTGGAACGGTGGCGGCGGCGGCGGCGGTTCTGGCAGCTCGGGGCTGAGTGCAAGGTGACTGGGAGGGTGACTAGACCAGCTCGGTCTCTTGGGACTGCGGTTCTGGGTTTCTTCACACGGCCTAGGCTGCCCGTCACCTCTGCCTTACTGGGAGGGCAGCGCAGTCCTGTGTCCCTAGCACCTTCAGGGCCTGGCTCGGGGTCACAGCTGACCTCGGCGCTTCTGCTCTTCGAAGAGTGCCGCAGACCCAGTAAATGAGGGATAGTGCCTCTGTGGGCAAACCGGGGGAGTGCGGGAGGCCGAGGGGTCTTGGGGCCCGCGGCCTGCCAGGGACAGCCCAAGGTCAGATGTGCGGGATGGGGTCGCGGCCCCGCCTGCCTGATGGAGGCGCGCGTGAGATTCTCCGGCACTAAAGCGCGGGGCAGGACCTGCACCCTAAGAGGGAACAGGGTAGTGGTCATCTTAAAAGCCCTGCTTGAAATGTTTGTGATTGGCTTTTGGAACTCTTACTGAAGGAGGCAGCGAGCTGGGTAACCTTTGGCTGGTCAGTCACCACTATAAATAGAACCAGGCCCCCTCCCGCCACGGGGCCTGCGTGCTGGCTGTAACCCCTCGTGTTGAGGTTCCCAGTCCTACTTGGAATCCCTTTCCTAGGCTCTTGTGGCATCCGATGGTACTCGAATAGAGAATTTGTCACAAATGGCATTTTAAATCTCTTTGTGTAATTATGTGTGTCTTAGGCGTGACATCGTGGACAATCCACACGTACTCAATGAGGGGGAAAAGGGAATAAGGAAGGAACAAGTTTTCATATGAGCGTATCTGTTCATTTTTTCGATGAGTTTGTAGAACTTGCAAGGGCTTGAGAGCTTTTGAATATATGGGTTTGGGGTCCAGGAAAAAGACTAGAATTAGAGACGTGATTTGGAAATCATTGGCAGCTACATGATAGATACTGAAAAAAATGAAAATAGATTCCACCCGTGTTGCAGTAGGAATCACATCTTTGCAGTCAACCTTAGTTATGGGAATATGGGTGATTAATCACTTTTCTTGAACATAATTTTATCATCTGTAAAGCGGGATAAAACACTTGTAACTCTTTAAGGATATCACAGTAGGGGCACAAGGAAAGAATGTATATGGAAGTAATGGGCACAGTATCTAGGTCTGAACAAAGATCAGTTGTTGAACCTGAATGTCCTTGGGTTGCCAAAAGGGGAAACAGGTGTAGATGTATTCAGTTGGATTCTACTGTGTAACCTTGGACCAGACACTTATCATCTAAGCCTCAGTTTCTGAATGTGTAAAAATGAGAATGATAGTAAGTGGCAACTTAAGGGGTCATTTGTTTGTAGTCTTGTTCTCAAGTGTTTTTCTCTGAAGGAAAATTTGGGGGAAGGCACGGAAAGTATGTTAGTGTACAGGTTTTCACTCTAAGAGTCAGAAATTTTTGTCAAGATATATGGAGGTATGAATCTTACCACCATCTGAACATAGAATTTGATAAGCCCTTTGAGTTTATAGACTCAGTCTTAATCTGAGAAAACTTTTTTATACTAATTATTTATGGCCTCCTTATCTAGTCCTATCCTCTGAAATTCTGTTCGCACATGGTTGTTATAATTTGGAAATGTTTTTTGCATTGGATCTTTAAAGATTTATTTATCTGGAGCCAGTGCTGTGGCGTACATAGAGTCAGTAAAGCCGCCACCTGCAGTGCCAGCATCCCATATGGGTACTGTTTCTAGTTCTGACTGTTACACTTCCAATCCAGCTGCCTGCTAATGTGCCTGGGAAAGAAAGCAGCAGAAGGTGGCCCAAGTCTTTATTTTTAAAGAATTATTTATTTGAAAGACAGAGTTACAGAGAAAAGTAGAGCCAGAGAGAGAGGTCTTCCATTCCACTGGTTCACTCCCCCAAATGACCGCAACGGCCAGAGCTGAGCTGATCAGGAGCCAGGAGCTTCTTCGAGGTCTCCCAGGCAGGTGCAGGGGCCCAAGGACTTGGAAAATCTACTACTGCTTTCCCAGGCCATAGCAGAGAGCTGAATTGCAAGAGGAGCAGCTGGGACTCGAGTGGGCGCCCATATGGGATGCGAGCGCTGCAAGCTGGGGCTGCAAGCTGCACCACAGCACCGGCCCCGGCCCAAGTCTTTGGGCTCCTGCATCCACATGGAAGACCTTTAGGAAGCCCCTGGCTTCTAGCTTCGCATTGACCCAGCTCTGTCCATTGTAGCCATTTGGGGAGTGAGTCAGCAGATGGAAGATCTCTCTCTCTCTCTCTGTCTCTCTGTCTCTCCCTCTCTTTCAGAGAAATAAATCATTTTTTCTCTTTAAAGATTATTTTATTTGAAAGGCAGAGTTTTAGAGAGGGAGGAACAGAGAGAGGTCTTCCATCTGCTGGTCTGGGGCCAAGCAAAAGCCAGGAGCTCCAGATAGGTCTCCCACGTGGGTAGCAGGGGCCCAGACACTTGAAGCCTTCCTCTGCTACTTTTCCCAGGCCATTAGCAGGGAGCTGGATCTGCAGTGGAGCCAGGACTTGAACGCTCACCCATGTGGGATACTGGCTTCACAGGCAGTGTCTTTATTAGCTACCATAATGCTGGCCCCACATTTGATCTTTAAGTCACTAAATCAGGGGTCAGCCTTTCTACTGAATGTGTTAGCTTCAGGAAGTCTAAGGACTTAAAAGTCTTTAAATCCTTATTAGAACTTTCATTCCATCACAAATTCTATTTCACTGATTAGGTTGTACTACTAGATATTCCCCTTTCTCGTTGCAGGGCTCATCTGGGCTGGTTGCTGTTTTGCTTTGCTGGACATTTTGGATTTTGATTTGGTTGTTAACAGTATTCTTGAATGGCTGAAATCCTTCAGTTGTACAAGCTTTCTCCTCCTCTTCCAGGCCATCATTCCTGGCTATGGCAACTGTCTCCAGTTTCTGTTGGCCTTTTGAGAGAACATTAATTTGTGAGCCAAATTAATTGTTTTTGTTTTTCCTGCTGGAGTAGGTGGTATTCTAACAGCCTACGTCTGTTATGTCTTCTGGTCCAGGACTAAGTTCTTGAGAGAAGGAACCCCATCCCAGATTTTGCTTGCTTTCTGCCCTAACCCTAGAGAAGCCTCAGTACCGGGTTGTTCCTAGCTGCTCCTAGGTCTCAGGGCCTTTTGGTTAAGAAGCAAGAAAATTTGCAGTGGGGAATGAAGAGGGTAAGGGACTGATCAAGTATGGATTGAATTCTAGTAAGATTTTGTTCTGTAAGAACTGGTGGAGTTAGATTTTAACTATGTGATGTATTTAGGGGTGATTTACAATTGTGTATGTATGTCTGAATGTATGTATGTGTATTAACATTCTGGTGCTTGTTTTCAGTAACATAAAGTCAGCCATGATCCTGCAGAAGCTCTTCAGGTTCTCCTCTGTCGTCCGCTCAGCAGTTGCAGTCCATCTGCGGAGGAACATTGGTGTAACAGCAGTGGCATTTAATAAGGAGCTTGATCCTGTACAGAAACTCTTCGTGGACAAGATTAGAGAATACAAATCTAAGCGACAGTAAGTATATAATCAGCCGTGGGATAAATAGTCAAAGTATGTAAATTTCAAATGGTAATTTAAAAATTACTTGTTTTTTAAAAGTGTCCCAAGACCTTCACTGAGCTGATCCCTGACCTGCAGTCCCACAGTTTATTTTCTAAGGATATCAGGGGAAAATCCCATTAAATCTGTTGTCATTTTAAATGATCTTTACTATGATGTTTATATTATAAATTAAATCAACTCAGTGCTGGAAACTATTTAGCAGCTGTATTTCAGAAAAGTAAGTCCCTTAGCCATCTACTAGCCTAAGGTTATAAAACTAATTAAGGGGCCAGTGCCGCGGCTCACTAGGCTAATCCTCCACCTAGCGGCGCCGGCACACCGGGTTCTAGTCCCGGTCGGGGCGCCGGATTCTGTCCCGGTTGCCCCTCTTCCAGGCCAGCTCTCTGCTGTGGCCAGGGAGTGCAGTGGAGGATGGCCCAAGTGCTTGGGCCCTGCACCTGCATGGGAGACCAGGAGAAGTACCTGGCTCCTGCCTTCGGATCAGCGCAGTGCGCCAGCTGCAGTGCGCCAGCTGTGGCGGCCATTGGAGGGTGAACCAACGGCAAAGGAAGACCTTTCTCTCTGTCTCTCTCTCTCACTGTCCACTCTGCCTGTCAAAAAAAAAAAAAAAAAAAAAGATCATATTAGGGGGTGGGTCGGGGCAGTGCAGGTGGAACTGCAGGGAGGTGCCAGAGACCTCAGCTCCTTGCTGGCAACCTTTCTACATGCATCAAAAAAAAAAAAAAACAAACCAAAAACAACTTAATTAAGGAAAAATATACAATGAGAATATTCTAATTCTCAATTTAGTGCCCTTTCCATGACATCATGATTTTGAGTTAATGAATGAACAGCATACTTTCTTTAAGGTTATTTCTTAGTTATATATATCTGGGAATGTCAAAAGAGATAAGATACTCTTCAATGGCATAAAGTTAGTCCAGAAAAAAACGTGACTACTGAACCACAGTTTTAGAAATGAGTGGACCACCTTAGCCATCATCAGGTCCAAACCACAAATGTTAGAAAAAGTAATGGACATCAATTCATAGTTCTGTTTTCTTCCATTTAGTGTCTACTCTGTTCAAGCACTGGGATATTAACTGTGGTTGACCACATCACATTTTCACAGTGCTTTAAATCTGATAGGAGTAGAAGGTTTGATGCAAATAAATACAAAATAGCGTAAAATGAGTTAGGTGCTAAGATAGTGACACACTCATTGTTTGGGAAGTTCATTGGAAGGAATACTCCTTTCTAGCTGAAGGCATTTTAGAAAGCTTCTTGGAAGAGTTACTATTTTTTAAAGATTTTATTTATTTGAAAGGCAGAGAGAGAGAGCGAGAGCTTCCATCTGCTTGCTGATTCACTCCCCAAATGAATGCAGCTGTCCAGGGGATGGGCCAGGCCAAAAAGCCGGGAGCCTAGAACTCAGTCTGGCTCTCCCATGTGTGTGGCAGGGGCTCAGGCCATCTGCTGCTGCTTTTCTAGGCACAGTAGCAGAGAACTGGATGAAAAGCAGAACAGTGAAGCCCTGGTACTCAACCAGTGCTGTGATACTGGGATCCTGCCATTGCAAATGCTGCGCCACAATGCTGGCCTGAAAGAGTTAATATAAAATCATAGTTCTGAAGGCAGTTTTTGGAGACATTCATTCTTCTTGAGAATCTTACGGACAACTGTGGATTATCTTCCCAGTTTAAAAAGTTTGTTACATGATTTTGATTATAGCTAGGAAGGGGTTCTCAAACCTGCAGAAGGCCATAATAAAAACCCTTGCTCAGGCCGGCGCTGTGGCTTACTAGGATAATCCTCCGCCTGCGGCACCAGCACCCCGAGTTCTAGTCCCGGTCGGGGCACCAAATTCTGTCCCGGTTGCTCCTCTTCCAGTCCTGCTCTCTGTTGTGGCTGGCCCGGGAAGGCAGTGGAGGATGGCCCAAGTCCTTGGGCCCTGCACCCGCATGGGAAACCAGGAAGAAGCACCTGGTCCCTGGCTTTGGATCAGTGCAGTGCGCCGGCTGCGACGCATCAGCCATGGCAGCCCTTGGGGGGTGAACCAACGGAAAAAGGAAGACCTTTCTCTGTCTCTCTCTCACTGTCTAACTCTGCCTGTCTTAAAAAAAAAAAAAAAAAAACTTGCTCAGGGGCTTATCCCAAGTTAAGGACAATGGTATGAAGTTGAACAGAGAGTAGGAGGAGGGTATCATTTAGTAGAAAAGAATGGTGTAAACTAAGGCATGAAAAGTAGAAAGCACAAGATATTTTTAGGAATTATGCTAATACTGATTCCGTAGTGCATAGGAAAATAAGTATAGTGATCAGTAAGAATGGAATGGTGCTATCCGAACCTCAATTTTATGGCAGTGAGAATATAAAAGTCAAGAGGCACAGAACTGATGTTAGTGACCTGGTAGAGAAGCAGAGCAGAGTGAACAATCAAGGAAAAGAGACTTTCGAGAGTGGTTAACTAACCAAAAAATGTTGCTGTTACCAAAGCTGAGGGTAGAAAAAGTGAAGGGACAAAAATGTATCTAAAGTACCGTTTGTTCTTTAGCTATTGTTATTAAGTTCCCATAATCCTATATACAGTTTTAAATATGAGAAAACCAATGCTGAGAAGTTAGACTTTTCCAGAAATCCCACTGTTCAGTAGGCAGGTATGTAGGACTGCACTGGGAATTTGAGTGTCTTCTCCAGAGGTGCTGTGGCATTTTAGTAGTGATACTATTTACATTTTAGCTGTCCTTAAAAACCCCTTCAGTAAGAAATTACTTCTCGGCCAGCGCCGTGGCTCACTAGGCTAATCCTCCGCCTTGCGGCGCCGGCACACCGGGTTCTAGTCCCGATCGGGGCGCCAGATTCTGTCCTGGTTGCCCCTCTTCCAGGCCAGCTCTCTGCTGTGGCCAGGGAGTGCAGTGGAGGATGGCCCAAGTGCTTGGGCCCTGCACCCCACGGGAGACCAGGAGAAGCACCTGGCTTCTGCCTTTGGATCAGCGCACCGCGCCAGCCATGGCGGCCATTGGTGGTTGAACCAATGGCAAAGGAAGATTTTTCTCTCTGTCTCTCTCTCACTGTCCACACTGCCTGTCAAAACAACAAAAAAAAAGAAATTACTTCTCAGTTTTATATTGGATATAAGGAGTCTGTGGGTCATTCATTCATTTGTGCAAACGATGGGATGGAGAAGTGTTCTGAGCATGGACCCTGGGCGGGAATCCAATTGCCACTTACTAGTTCCATGACCTTGGATAGAGTATTCAACCCCACCTATAATAGTTTCTTCATATGTAAAACAAGGATGATAATAACAGTGCCTATTTCATAGAATGTTACGAAAATTAGTAAATTAATATGTCTAGAATTTGTTATGCATAATTAACAGGTATTTTGTTAGTGCCTGCTTTGTCCCAATTAAGTGCTGGGGCCTAGGAATATAACAGTAAACAAGATGGGCTGTGACAGTTTTGTTCAGTTGAGGAGTTAGAAGTTTTCTGGCCCCTTTTTATCCTAAGAGCACGTTGTAAAATTGTAAATAATAGCCATGATCTATCAGTAACCAGTATGTATGCTGTTAAGACTGACTGTATCTCCTCAAAGCAGTTGCTAAAATTTTATGGATCACAGTGCTGGCAGACAATCATTAGAGAATCTGATTGAGGGATCTATTTATTTATTTTTTAAGATTTATTTATTTGGGGCTGGCGCTGTGGCACAGTAGGTTAATCCTCCACCTGCACCACCGGCATCCCATGTGGGCGTTGGTTCTTGTCCCAGCTGCTCCTTTTCCCATCCAGCTCTCTTCTATGGCCTGGGAAAACAGTGGAAGATGGCCCAAGTCCTTGGGTCCCTGCACCCACATGGGAGACCCAGAGGAAGCTCCTTGCTTCTGGCTTCGGATTGGTGCAGATCTGGCTGTTGCGGCCATTTGTGGAGTGAACCAGCGGACGGAGACCTTTCTGTCTCTCCCTCTCGCTGTCTGTAGCTCTACCTCTCAAATAAATAAGTAAAATATTAAAAAAAAAAAAAAAAGATTTATTTATTCGAAAGACAGAGTTACCTAGAGAGGTAGAGCCAGAGAGAGAGAGAGAATGAGAGGTCTTCCATCCGCTGGTTCACTCCCCAAATGGCCACAACAGCCAGAGCTGAGCTGATCCGAAGCCAGGAGCCAGGAGCTTCTTCCAGGTCTCTCACGCGGGTACTGGGGCCCAAGCACTTATGCCATGTTCTACTGCTTTCCCAGGCCACAGCAGGGAGCTGGATCACAAGTGGAGCAGCCGAGACTTGGTATTGGCCCCCTTATGGGATGCTGGCACTGCAGGCTGGGGCTTTAACCCACTGCGCCATATCACTGGCCTTCAGGTATCTATTTGGAATTGTGTTCTCCATTATCCACATGGAGCTACTCAAATTCTAAATAATTACATATAAATCAAAATGAAAATTCAGTTTTTCGGTGGCCTTAGCTATACTACTAGTGCTGAATACCCGTATCTGGCTAATGGCTACTATATTAGACTGTACATGTAGGGAACACTTCTGTCAACACAGAAAGTTTGAGAGGACATTGTTGACCTAAAAGAAACATCTTTCACAAGTTCTTAAATTGGAGCTATTTTTTTGTGGAAATTCTTTGCCGTGGTCATAGGCACATTGAAAATACTTGGCTTTGAAGGAATTTTAACTTATAAATTTTTTAAGCTTACAATATTGATAGGCAGTAATTTTTTTAAGAAGATTTATTTTATTTATTTGAAAGAGTTACAGAGAGAAGTAGAAACAGAGAGAGAGAGATCTTCTATCTGCCTGTTTACGCCCCAGATGGCTGCAATGGCTGGAGCTGTGCCAATCCGCAGCCAGGATTCTGGGTCTCCTACATGGGTGCAGGGGCCCAAGGATTTGGGCCATCCTCTACTGCTTTCCCAGGCCATAGCAGAGAGCTAGATCGGAAGAGGAGCAGCCGGGACTCGAATGGGTGCCCATATGGGATGCCGGCGCTTCAGGCCTTGGCTTTAATCTGGTGCACCACAGTGCCGGCCCCGATAGGCAGTAATTTTTATGACAGAAGAATTTGTTCAAATAGTTAATGAGACCTGTTTGGCCGCACTATTGGTCCATGATGCTGTATTTTTTTTTTTTTAAGATTTATTTATTTTATTTGAAAGAGTTACACAGAGAGAGGAGAGGCAGAGAGCGAGAGAGGTCCTTCATCCAATGGTTCACTCCGCAGTTGGCCACAACGGCCAGAGCTGTGCTGATCCAAAGCCAGGAGCCAGGAGCTTCTTCCAGGTCTCCCACGTGGGTGCAGGGGCCCAAGGACTTGGGCCATCCTCCACTGCTTTCCCAGGCCACAGCAGAGAACTGGATCGGAAATGGAGCAGCCGGGTCTCGAACCGGCGCCCATATGGGATGCTGGCACTTCAGGCCAAGGCGTCAATCCAGTGCGCCACAGCGCCAGCCCCCATGATGCTGTATTTATCTTTCCAAAGCACAATTTAATTTTTGTCATTTTTTTGCATAGCAAATATACAGACTCCCAGGTTTATTAACATTGAAGGCTTCCAAAGATCTGTAAGTTCTGCTGGTTTTTCCACCTTGACTTAGTGTTCCCTCCATACAGCCAATGTTTCATCACCTCCAAGTCCTTGCTTTTCATCTTAAAATGCCTCAAACTAAAATCTGGCTTCAAATGCCATCTTCTTAAGATGGAATTTTCCCTCATTAGCTGAACAGAAGCAATCTCTTCTTGAATGGTTTTTTGTTGAACTACGTTTTTAAACCTTATCACATAACTCGTTTAAAATGGAAATATTTGTTAGCATGTAATTTTTCTCTTCTAAGTTGCAAAATCTCTGAGGGTAGGAAATAATTTACCTCTGTGATAGACCCCCCTATTACAGAGACGTACAGTTCCCAAGATATATTTTTTAAATATTTCTTTGTTTATTTGATAGTCAGAATTAGAGGGACACAGAAAGAGAGATCTTCCATCTGCCTCACAACAGCCAGAGCTAAGCCAGGCCAAAACTGGGAGTCTGGAACTCCATCCTGGTTTCCCACATGGGTGATAGGGGTTCAAGCACTTGGACCATCTTCTGCTGCTTTTCCAGGCACATTAGCATGGAGCTAAATCTGAGGTAGAATGGCCAGGACATGAACTAGCTCCCTTATGGGATGCCAGCAGCGACTTTATCTGCTGTGTACCAATGCGATCTCCCACCAAGGTCTATTAAAAGCTACTTGGGTATGGCTGATTTAAAGCAGATGATAATAGATAATATTTACTGAATATATTCTGTGCGCATTCTCTCTTTAATTTCTTCAACACCCCCATTCAAGAGCGCATTCATTTTTTTACATGTGGAACCTAAGTGGCTTATGCCTTTTCTTGGTTTATGCAGTTACTAAATGGTAGAGCTGATGCTCAAACAGAACCATATTGAATCCAGAGCCCATGAACTCAACTCAACCATTGTACCTTTTTTTTTTTTTTTTTTTGACAGGCAGAGTGGACAGTGAGAGAGAGAGACAGAGAGAAAGGTCTTCCTTTTGCCGTTGGTTCACCCTCCAATGGCCACCGCGGCCGGCGCACCGCGCTGATCCGATGGCAGGAGCCAGGTACTTATCCTGGTCTCCCATGGGGTGCAGGGCCCAAGGACTTGGGCCATCCTCCACTGCACTCCCTGGCCACAGCAGAGAGCTGGCCTGGAAGAGGGGCAACCGGGACAGAATCTGGCGCCCCGACCAGGACTAGAACCCAGGGTGCCGGCGCCGCAAGGCGGAGGATTAGCCTAGTGAGCCACGGCGCCGGCCCTCAACCATTGTACCTTAATGCAACTTGGACTTAAAGAGTTTGGGACTTACTAAGTATTCTGGACATCAACAAACTTTGAATGTTGGAGATTTGTTTAAAAAATTATCTCATTTATGTGAAACCTCCTTTTACTAAAATAAATTTGTATTGAAATGCATGTGGAAATGCTTTTTTTCTTTCTGAAGAGTTTATTTTTTTCCTACATGATTATTTTTAAAAGGTCTTTAAAAATTTGACAGTGGAAGTAATTTTGTTTTTGTAACCTAGAATATAACATTGATTTTTATGTGCTCATTTATGCAACAGGGCATCAGGAGGACCTGTTGATGCAGGCCCATCATACCAGCAAGATCTGGAGAAAGAGCTTTTTAAGCTGAAGCAAATGTTTGGTAAAGCAGATATGAATACGTTCCCTACCTTCAAATTCGAAGGTAAATCTTTTTAATCACAGGTTCATTCTTTGGGCATATTACCTTAAGATATTTTTAGTTAACTTGGATTATTTAAAAGATGAAGTGACAGTTAAATATGAATTCATGAGGACTGTGACATATGCATGGGAAGTACTCAGTGGTATAGGAGAAATGCTAGGGAATTGAAATCAGACTTTTGAATCCTGAATGTCACTTACTAGCTGGTGATCTTGGGTAATTTACTGGTGCCTATTTCTTCTTATGGCACTTAAGAAGAACTATAATACCCTCCTCGTGTAGTAGTTATATTTAAATAAGATAATAAATATGTAAATCAATTAACAGAGAACCTGGCCCATGCAAAGTGTTAAATAAAAACTTAGCTATTGTTTGTCTTCTATGTAGATGTCTAATACAGAAGATTTTCTCTAAAAAAGAAAAAAAAAAATCTGAAGATCAATGAGTTAAATCATGAAGCATTCTAGATGGTGCATTTGATTGCAGTTTGGTCAAGTTTGAACCTTTATTTTTTTTTTCTTCCCCTCTTAGATCCCAAATTTGAAACCATTGAAAAACCCCAGTCCTGAAGAAATAATGGAAAGTTAATCTGGTAATTTGTCATGGATTACTTGTACAGTTAATCAGAAGTATCACAATAAACACATTTCACAATTATCAAATGTTCTTTTCATTTTGATTCCCAGTTATTTGGTGATGTTGAGTAAATGCTTCTGAACATTGAATTCTGTGTTTTAGGATTATGTGTAAATCCTTTCACTTGGTTATAGTGAAACAGGTAACAGACATTGAGTAAACTGGGTACTGCTTGCCTATATTCCCACAGACTCTTCCCAGTGTGCTGGGGAATCCTTTCAGTAGTAGAAATTTAACTGCCTGCAGTGAGCCACCATAACCTATGGGAATGTTTGCTATAGATGGATTTTGTGTCCTCTCCCATAATATGAAGAAAGGATTTATAAAATACTTGCTGCAACTTTCTCAGGAGACTTAAGTGTAATTATTTTTTTATAATACATTCTTTTTTACATATGTAATTTGAAAGGCAGAGGGAGCTTCCATCCGTTGATTCACTCACTCAATGCCATCAACAGCCAAGGCTGGGTCAAGCCAAAATCAGGAACCCAGAACTCTATCCAGGTCTCCCATGTGGTGGCAAGAAACCAAGTAGTTGAGCTACCACCACTGTCTCCCAGAATGTGCATTATCAGGAAGCTGGATCAGAAGTAAAGTAGCCAAAAATTAACCAGCCACTTCATTACAGAATGTGCACATCCCAACCTGCAACTCATTCACTGTGCCAAATGCCCACCCCTCAAATGCAGTTTTTAATATACAGAGGAACATCTATTTTTTAGCCTCTGTCACCTCAAAAGTTAGATGCTTTTATCCCAGTTCTACCAGGTTCCTTATCTTCACCTGTAGATCACAGTCTCTACAGTCCTGTGTGGATTGAGGAGGGAAAGGAGGACAGGAGGATTCTGTAAAGGAAATACTATGAAAGATTAAACTATATCATGCTGTTTTGTCTAAGCAATGAAAGATCTAGTGGGTATATCCTGGATATGTGGTGTAGCAGGTACTATTAAGTGTAAGTGGTTCTCCAGAAGTGATTTTTCAAAAAGGAAAAACTGCCATGCCTTTTTTTTTTTTTTTAAGATTGATTTATTTATTTGAAAGAGTTACACAGAGAGAGGTCTTCCATCTGATGGTTCACTCCCCAATTGGCCGCAATGGCCGGAGCTGCACCAATCCAAAGCCAGGAGCCAGGAGCTTCTTCCAGGTCTCCCACACAGGTGCAGGAGCCCAAGGACTTGGGCCATCTTCTGCTTTCCCAGGCCATAGCAGAGAGCTGGATCAGAAGTGGAGCTTCCAGGTCTCGAACTGGCGCCCATATGGGATGCTGGCGCCTCAGGCCAGGGCCTTTTTTTTTTTTTTTTTAAAGATTTATTTATTTATTTGAAAGTCAGAATTACACACAGAGAGAGGAGAGAAAGGGAGAGAGAGAAGTCTTCCATCTCATGGTTCACTCCCCAATTGGCCACAACGGCTGGAGCTGCACCGATCCGGAGCCAGGAGCCAGGAGGTGCTTCTGGGTCTCCCATGTTGGTGTAGGGGCCCAAGGATTTGGGCCATCTTCTGCTGCTTTCCTGGGCCTTGGCAGAGAGCTGGATTAGAAGAGGAGCAGCTGGGTCTCGAACTGGTGCCCATATGGGATGCCGGTGCTTCTGGCCATGGCATTAACCTGCTGCACCACAGCACCGGCCCCTGCCATGCCGTTTTATTTCTGATAATGTTTCTAACATATCCGCGAACATGGGTCTTAATAAAGCTGATTTTCTTTACTGTGTGAAATTTTTTTAAAAAAAGCCTTGAAAAGATTGAACTCACTTTAAAGAGGATTTATACAATGATATGCTGCAATTTAAGTCAGACCTTCTGAGGAATATCTTTTTAGAAAGCACCACAAATTGTAGGCATTGGAACCGAATCACATTTAAATTGTGGTACAGTTTGCCGGCGCCGCCGTAATTCAATAGGCTAATCCCCCGCCTGCGGTGCCGGCACACCGGGTTCTAGTCCCGATCGGGGCGCTGGATTCTGTCCCGGTTGCCCCTCTTCCAGGCCAGCTCTCTGCTATGGCCCAGGAGTGCAGTGGAGGATGGCCCAAGTGCTTGGGCCCTGCACCCGCATGGGAGACCAGGAGAAGCACCTGGCTCCTGGCTTCGAATCAGCGCGGTGCACCTGCCGCAGCGGCCATTGGAGGGTGAACCAACGGCAAAGGAAGACCTTTCTCTCTGTCTCTCTCTCTCACTGTCCACTCTGCCTGTCAAAAAAAAAAAAAAAAAAAAAAAAAGTGGTACAATTTAAAGGTAGTTGAGGTAGTTGTTTGCTCAGAGCCTCTCTAACCTATCCTAAAACAATTGCCAGTCAACGTGGAGAACAGCCCCTTGACTTTATCTCCACTCAAAGTGTAGTTGAATTTTACTCTATTTTCTGACACCTATTTGACGCATAAGTTTTTTATCTGTCCTCCCAGCCTAATCTCCATTACTGACAAAGGATTCTGTCTGTAGAAGCACCCACTCCCATGCTGTTCATGATAGGGCTATGCTTTTAGTTGAGGTCAGGTGAGTGCACCTGCCATGTGCCAGCTGAACCTCTGTAGTGGTGCTGCAAGTCATGGTGTGCACTTTACCCTTGTAATGAATTCCTTGATCTTCAGTTACCATGCAGGACCTGGATGATCTGGGGCCTTTAAAATGGTTTTCCATACTTAGTATATAGACTGCATTATTTCCCTTAAAATCAGTATGTTGAAGCTTAATCTCCAATACCTCCAGAATATGACTTTATTTGGTAGTAAGGACTTTAAAAGTGATAATTAAAAATGAGATGTTTTGGGTGGGCTCTAATCCAGTCTGATTGGTATCCTTAAAAGGAAATTTGGGGCCAGTGCTGTGACATAGCAGGTAAAGCCACCACCTGCAGTGCCAGTGTCTCATATGGGTGCCATAAGCAGGAAGCTGGTTCAGAAATGGGGACTCAGCTGTGGTGCTCATATAAGGTGTAGAGTTGTTTGACTACCACTGTTTCTCTGGTTGTTCCTGCTTTTGGTAATGCAGGCTTCCAAATGCTGGTTCTCTAGTAAGATACATGTGTGAGTTCCTGGGTGGTCCTGTGGACAAGGAGGTGTTCCAACTTGTACAGATTACCTTAAATGGGAGGCCCACTCTGATTACCTCTTGAAGACTCCCCTCAGTTCAGTTCCCACTTGTGGTTTTTTTTTTTTTTTTTTTTTTTTTTTTGTGACAGAGTGGATAGAGAGAGAGACAAAGGTCTTCCTTTGCCGTTGGTTCACCCTCCAATGGCCGCCGCGGCCGGCACGCTGCGGTCGGCGCACCGCGCTGATCCCAAGGCAGGAACCAGGTGCTTCTCCTGGTCTCCCATGGGGTGCAGGGCCCAAGTACTTGGGCCATCCTCCACTGCACTCCTGGGCCATAGCAGAGAGCTGGCCTGGAAGAGGGGCAACCGGGACAGAATCTGGCGCCCCGACCGGGACTAGGACCCGGTGTGCCAGCGCCGCACGGCGGAGGATTAGCCTATTGAGCCGCGGCGCCGGCCCCCACTTGTTCTTGGTGTTACACTTGACAAGGCTGAAAGCCAGCTACTTCCAGTGATGGTGGCCTCAGAAAGTTCATGGAGAAATGGAATTGAAAGATAATGCAGGGGCTGGCACCGTGGCGCAGTAGGGTAATTCTCTGCCTGCAGCGCCAGCATCCCATTTGGGCGCGGGTTCTAGTCCTGGCTGCCCCTCTTCCAATCCAGCTCTCTGCTATGGCCTGGGAAAGCAGTGGAAGATGGCCCACGTCCTTGGGCCCCTGGACCCATATGGGAGACCAGGAAGAAGCATCTGGCTCCTGGCTTCAAATCCACGCAGCTCTGGCCATTGTGGCCACCTGGGGAGTGAACCAACGGAAGGAAGACCTTTCTTTCTCTCCCTCTCACTGTCTATTACTCTACCTCTCAAATAAATAAAATCTTAAAAAAAAAAACAACAACAAACTTTGAAGTCCCTCATAATCTTTGACCATAGAAATCATGAAGAAACAAGTGTTTCATCATTCCCCATCTGCCCGCATGAAACTTTTTTCCAATCTTCACCCTCCTCACAAAGTTGCTACTCTTCGGCAGGTGCCTTCAGTTTTTGCAAATGATTTTGTTCAAAATTTTCTTTTTTTGCTTTGTGGGAAGTTGGGGCCCATGCCACTCATAATTTTGACAGATTTATTCTCTGTCAAATAACTTGGACAATTCATACATTGTTTCTTCATTCTTTCACATCTCTATTCAGTCTTCAGCTTCTATGGACAGTTTGTATGGTAAAGGGCAGTGATGGACTGGGGTAACTCAAGGCACCTTATCTCTTCACAAACAGCAAAGGGCATTAGTACTCTTTCTTTGGAAAGTGGGGTACTTGATTCCTTGGACAACAGAAAGTTCCAATTTGCATTCTGTTACATGAATACATCTTCCCTTACAAATTTTTTTTCTTTCTCTTTCCTGTGTATTATACTAAAATACAGGAAAATGTCTTGGGACTGGTGTCATGGTGTAGCTGGTTAAGCCGCTGCTTGGAACGCCAGTTTCCCATATTAGAGCACCAATTCGGGGCCCAGCTGCCTCCTTCCAATCCAGCTCCATGCTAATGTACTTTGGAAGGCAGTGGATGGTGGTCCAAGTAGTTGGGCCCCTTTGAGCCCCTGCTGTCCTCATGGGAAATCTGGGTAATAAGTAAATAAGATTAAAAATTTTTAAGTTTCAGAGTTGGAAAACAAAAATTTGTTTCAATTTCATTGAAAATGAATGCTTGGGGTGGGAGCTGTGGCGCAGTGGGTTAATGCCCTGGCCTGAAGCGCCGGCATCCCATATGGGTGCCGGTTCGAGACCCGGCTGCTCCATGTCCAATCCAGCTCTCTGCTATGGCCTGGGAAAACAGTGTAAGACGGCCCAAGTCCTTGGGCCCCTGCACCCATGTGGGAGACCCGGAAGAAGCTCTTGGCTCCAGGCTTTGGATCAGCGCAGCTCCAGCCGTTGCGGCCAATTGGGCAGTGAACCATCAGATGGGAGATCTTTCTTTCTCTTTCTTTCTCTCTCTCTC